TGTAACTTCAGCAATGACTACCAGGGGTCTCCGTAAAAATTGCTTCAGTGATCCGAATGACGCGGTCATGGAATGAACCTACAACCTTCCGAGCATGAGGCAAATGGTTTGACCATTTCGCTATAGACTCTAAGAATTGATAAATTATGACTGGTTTAGGTGACAATTTTCTACATATCTTCTTCGTTTTTCGTTGTCGTCTCACTGTTACCAGGTTGCAACCTAGTGTTGTGGTTTTCTGTATTTGTCTTGCGTTTCTCGGGTGACTTAAGTGATGGTTTTGTTCAACATTTGGCAGGTTTCAACTACACCATTTATCTATCTCTTTCTTGGTTTTCCTCTCACCTTCCTCCCAGATATTCAACTGTAAAAAAGTCTCATATGCAGTCTGGTCTGGCTGCATTTTCACTGGAGTGTGAACCATATCATCCTTTATAAATATAATCCATAAATGATCTTATTCCAACTTTCTCTTTAATTCTGGTATTCGTAACCCTGTCTCGTCTAGTGTTGTTGTTAGTGAACCAACCCCAGCTTTTCTATATATCAAATTTTGATTATGTGCTGTAATTTCATTTTATAAGCTTACTCAAATCTTTAGATATTTTGGAACTGTACATATGTACATCAAACTACTGGGCGTAAATTTGCCTAGAGAAACCATACAACAGCCAGGGGCTGCTGGGGTTGGTTCTGCAACGTCCTGTAAAGGATACGCAACTAATCTAACATATGTACATCCAACATAGGAAAACAGTGGAAGATAGACTTAGTTATACTCTCTACTAGAAACAGAGCCAGTTACTTTCTAAAGGACATACAAATCAAAGAAGAAATCTACCTCCATGCAACAAAGGTGAACACATAAAAGTTAGTTGCATATCCTTTACAGGATGTTGCAGAACCAATCCCAACATTTTTAGACATTTGTGGTTTTTCTAGGCAAATTTATGTCGAGTAGTTAGCTATTGTTTTCTGGATGGTGGGCTTCTCGATACCACTGCCAAAACCAATGCAAGGTACAAGGCCTGCAGTTGGGATGGAACCTGGCACGTTCGCAACGCCTAAGCCACAGATGCCGACTGAACACATATAACACTCTCATAAAACCAACATGAGGTCAAAGTTTAACATCACACTGGCTGCCTTTACTTCCCAGAACACTAGCTGGTTTCCATTTAAGGCTAAATAAAATTAGCAGCCAAGGTCAATTCTGATAAAAATTTGCCCCAGTGCAGACCTGAACCCTAGACCTTGTGGACAGCAAGCGAATACTTAGCCACTTTGCTATGATGGCTCCTAGGAAAAGTCCACTTAGGAAGATGTTGAGCCTACTGCAAAATAATAAAACTAGTACATACAGGATGTGCACAGAGCTGATGTGAATATATTCTAGGGGAAGGGTAAAACGGAGGCTAAGGGAAAAATTTGAAGTAAACATTTTTTTTTTAACGCATTTTGTTTTCAAGGCCCCCCCCCCCCCCCCCCCCTTTTCCCCTTCCCCTACCCCTTTAAATTGCCAGGTTTGTGGTTTCCCATGGTGAAAGAGTTAATAGCTACCATGTACTGAGCGAAAATGTGACAGATTAAGATGATCACATCATATTTAATAATCAGTTATAATACAGACTCAGAGCACAGATAAATTCAGGACACAAGGCTAAGAGGACAGCCTGAGTGATGATGGAATATGAAAGTTGTACTTAATCTAATAGAAGTGAATACAGAAGAATGAAGGATTATTATCTGCAGTAGAAATAAGAGAAAACAGATGCTGCTTGGAGGTTCAACAGGGATGGAGAAGAATGAAATCAGCAACTTATAATTTAATCAATTTTTGAAGACAAAATACAAACAATAACTTTGCCATTTTTATATGCACTTGAGTAATTGTTAACAAATTCAATGTATAAATGAAATATGGCTAACTGTAGGAAAAATGTAGTAATATAAACAATTCATTAACAAGAAGTGTATGTTAGATTTAAAAAAAAAAAAAAGACAAAACAGAGAACTGCAAACACTCAATTCCCTTTTTCAGCAGCCAGTGCAGAGTTCCTATTTCAATGGAACCAACAACTGCCTGATTATATATATCTTACCTTTCCTCTGAGGGTTGAGTGTCCACCAAATTCCCACTGTACCACCACTGTCTTCAGCTCAAGATGATCACCTATCCATGCTTCCACATTCTCCACTCACTGCCACCTGGTCTAGACCACATCTAGCTTACTATACATCAGTTTACCACCCCCCGTCTTCCCCCCTAAGTGGTGCAGAACTATCCAATCTTGGTGCAGAACTATCCAATCTAAGGAAAATAACAAGTAACAAACTACATTTTGTGATATTGTGGTTGTTTCTTGCCGCTTCCTAATAAAGACTTGTTTCTGCAACTAACTCTAAACAAAACAAAAAAAAGGTAAACTGTAATTTTGCAAACCTACCTGCACTTTGTGTTTTCTAATTGTTCACAAATTCCATGTCATATACAAAATAATGAAATATTTATTACAAGTATAAATTAACAGTTTGATCATATGAACGGATAAATTATGATCGGATAAATTCTAGAAACTGTACAAATAATTTATTTATTATTTTTTTAAATATTTTTCATCACTAATTTTTGTTTAATTGTTTTATTTTTATTTTTAAATCTTTTACATTTCAATAAAGCATTTCAAAATCACATTATCATCACAAGAAACTGACCAACAAATCAATGCTACAACAAAAGAAAAATAATCAGGTATGAAAACTTTTTGTATCTTTAATCAGAAAAAGACTAACACATAAATATGCCAACACACAATCTCCTGTCTTGAATTAACCAAATTTTTATATGTTAAATATCACAAATGTATTTCCATTCATTAGAGAATACATTAACGCAAAGCATTAATAATAATAATAATACAAGCAATGAGGGTTAAAAACAAGTTAAACAAAATAACTTGTTGATGTATATGTTTCCAGCTTGCAGATTTTAAAGTCTACAACAGTGGTTTCTAAACTGTATGATGTGCAGCAATTTTTAAGTTGTAATATAAGCCATGATGTTCTTCTTCTTTCTTCATTCCTCCAGACTCTTTTCTGGCTTTCAGCACCTGGTCTTGAAGGGGGCATATGGTGCCAGCCTTGGTGTAGATCAGGGCTAATAAATTGTTTTTATAGGTGCCAAAATGTTAAAAACAGGAATTGTCACAGGCCAAAGGCCTGAGCCCCAGCATAGAAAGATCAATAATACAATACAACTGGCAATGATCCGCAGGCCACTTGCAAGGTCTCCCGTTAAACAGCTCTGGCGTAGAAGCTTGTATTTACAGCCTCAGATATTCCATAACTTAAGTTGGAGATCTCTAGCTCTGCTTACATTGACCTTCCATTCCGCTTTCATTGTGTCTAATTGGCAGGGCTCTCTCTGGAGCACTAACCTGTGGCAGTCTTGACACATGTCTGAACCATTTGATCTCATGGTCTTCTACTTTGTGATTTAAGTCAGAATATAATATTTTGTGCCACACTGTTGAGATATTATGTTGTGATATTCTGTAATACTATCATTTGTTTTGATATTCTACATTGCGATCATTTTTTAAAAAAAAATTCCAATCTTTGATAACCTATGTTGTGATATTACATTTTGTGATACTTAATTACAATCATCATAATCAGGTGCCTTGCCGACTGGCATAGGTGATCATACCTCTCCACAATCAACGATCTCCTGCAGCATGTATCCGTTCGTGTGCTGACACACCTCCATGCCATGCAACAAGACTGGCAAGAATCTTCTCTCGTTGTCTTCCTCTATCCCTCCTTCCACAGCTCTTTCCAGTGGTCACATGTTCCATTTTCCCTCTTCTACTGTATGTTAATGGCATTCTTCGATAATCTGTTCTTTCATATTTTATGTTGTGATATTATATGTTGCTATATACTATGTTAATGAGAGAGATGCAAAAACTGTGTACACAAGGAAATTGAATGGTCGCACACTTACAAACACTTTGGTTCACCAAGTGGAAAGAGAGGGCCACACACAGAGATAATGGAGGTGGGTGATATCTGCAGAAATGAACTTCAGGGGTTCAAAGTGCTAAGAAGAAGAAGATACATTAAGTTATATTCTTTTATGGTGCGTTAATCTACTATGTGATATTCTAAGGCAGGCCTAATCAACTCAAGGGCTTAATATCCAGCCTGGAGAGGATTAGCAAGTGGTCTGCGCATCAGTCATCTTCGTACTCATACTTGATGAAAAAGAGTGTTCATCTTGATGGACAACACACACACATGTTATGGTATTCTCTGTTATGCTGTTGTATGTATGTTGTGAATTCTATGTTACGGTTTTCTCTGCTTTGTTGTTGTATGTTCTGAATTCTATGTTATGGTATTCTCTGCTTTGTTGTTGTATTCTGTGAATTCTATGTTATGGTATCCTATGCTGTGCTGTAGGATGTTGTGATCTTCTATGTTATGGTATTCTATGCTGTTTAATTTTATAGTTTGACAGTCTACATTTTGTGATTTTTAAGCTGTGTTTTATTACATTATATCCCTATGCCTTGTATACTATGCTGTGCTTTTCATATCTTGTGCTATTATAACATTATACCATTTCTTTGACATGCTGTTCTACATTGAAACATTTTACTTTGAGATATTGTGTTTTGTAAACACTCCATCTTCTGATATTCTGTGTCAGAAAAAGACAGCCACCAAGTCTTGATTTGTTTGTTTCTGAAGTTATTTCAATGTAATTAATGAGTTGGGATTAATATTTCATCATATATATGGCACTCATGCACACCCAGTTTGAGAAACACTGGGCTAACACACTGCAGGCTATAGTTCTTTTTATTGTTAGACAGAAGCCTCTGAAATTCCTCCCCTCATCGACTGATGCCAAATGTGGAAGATGATTCTGACCCTTCAGAATTACAGGAAACCAGACTAGATTAGTCACAAGGTGATGAGCCTTACTTTAGCATTTACAAGTGGGGCTTATACTGTGGTGGCGGCAAGTCAATTGATGTGTAATACAAAACAAATGCTGCACTGGTCTGTGGAGGAAAAAAGGCATTTTTTATATAATGGTTTTTGATTAGATTTCCACTATTTAAAACTGCTCCATTTTTTTTAGTTATCTGTAAAATTCAGTAACTGAAAACTAGAACACCCAATGCATCATCCTATTGTACCATACTAATTACAGTTAGCATAGAAAGTATAGACAGTCATGTGTTACAGTTCAATCAGAAGTGTTTTGGATAAGGCCTGTGAACAGAGAATCCCAAAACAGACACTGAAATGGGAAACAAATGAATCTAGGAAAAGATATCCAATAGAAACCCTAAAATGAACATTGATGAGACAGTCCAAATGTTCTGGACTGAATTCAGTTCCTGATAACCAAAGACTTGCACAGGCCAGATTTAAACGGAGGAATTTTTCTTTTTTTTTCTTTAGTGTCCAGAAGCCATGACTTGTTAACCCTTAGGCTCGATATTATGGATATCACAACCCTTCGGCCTTTATTCCATGATAAATAACGTAAATCTGGGAGAAATATGGCTTTTCTATGTGACATAAAAATGGTACAACATGATGATGCTGCTGAGTTCTTGTTTAAAACACAAAGCCATCTAAAGTAATTTTTGGTTTTCTTCTTGCTCTTATGCCACGCTTGACAATTTTGCAACAACTAATGTGCTTCAAGTCATTTTTATATAGTAGAGGGAGGGTAAAGTGCAAGACCTTTACATATAACAGGTTATGGGAAAATAAAATGTTGTATCCAGGCTCCATTCTTTCAGCATTTCCATTAACATAATCCTGTCCCTGTTTAACATACAGGTTAACCCCCGAGTTGTATTATTCAGTAAAGAAACCATGCCACCATCAAGAATGCAATTTTTAATTTAAAAAGACTTCAAAAAACCTAGCACAAACTAGATAAGGAGATCGCCCATATTACTGAAGGGAAAAAATATGGTGAAAATGAAAATCTGGAACAAAATTTTAAAAAAAGTAGGATAAACAGAAAAGACATTGGGGCAAAAAGTGAGAAAATATCCTAACCTTTTATAGTGATGTGGAAAAATAATAACAGGAATGAGTACATTTTGCCTTGAAATGAGATCAACTGTGCCAGTTGGTAATCATTTCATGAAAAATGAGAATTCATTAAAATAACAAGAAATTACTATAAATAATAATGATGAATTTAGTGGGAGAAGTCAATTATTGTCATAAATTCATTTGTTACTGTTTGCACTCTTTTGCATTTTCAATATAACACTATCTTTTCAAAATCTAGAAAGATGCCACAAACATCAAACGGCACTAATTGAATTAAGTCACTTAATGATGATAATAACTCTTTACAATGACATAATGTTCAAAACACAGACTATAGATAATAAGAATTTACTAAAGAAAATGAACATCATCTAACTCTGATTCTGTCTAGCACATCTGCTTACTGCCAATAACTCCTAAAGCAACCATGGAAGATTGCCTTCGCTGTGCTAAAGGGAGGCATGGGAATGAGTCCATGGTGACTGTGAGTGTGACTAGCAAAACCTGCTCAGACTGTGACTAGCAAAACCTGCTCAAACTGTGAGTGTGACTAGCAAAACCTGCTAAACTGTGAGTGTGACTAGCAAAACCTGCTCAAACTGTGAGTGTGACTAGCAAAACCTGCTCAAACTGTGAGTGTGACTAGCAAAACCTGCTCAAACTGTGAGTGTGACTAGCAAAACCTGCTAAAACTGTGAGTGTGACTAGCAAAACCTGCTCAAACTGTGAGTGTGACTAACAAAACCTGCTCAAACTGTGAGTGTGACTAGCAAAACCTGCTCAAACTGTGAGTGTGACTAGCAAAACCTGCTCAAACTGTGAGTGTGACTAGCAAAACCTGCTCAAATTGTGAGTGTGACTAGCAAACCTGCTCAGACTGTGACTAGCAAAACCTACTCAAAACTGTGAGTTTGAATAGCAAAACCTGCTCAAACTGTGAGTGTGACTAGCAAAACCTGCTCAAACTGTGAGTGTATATAGCAAAACCTACTCGTACTGTGAGTGTGACTAGCAAAACCTGCTCAAACTGTGAGTGTGACTAGTAAAACCTGCTCAAACTGTGAGTGTGACTAGCAAAACCTGCTCAAACTGTGTGTGTGACTAGCAAAACCTGCTCAAACTGCGAGTGTGACTAGCAAAACCTGCTCAAACTGTGAGTGTGACTAGCAAAACCTGCTCAAACTGTGAGTGTGACTAACAAAACCTGCTCAAACTGTGAGTGTGACTAGCAAAACCTGCTCAAACTGTGAGTGTGACTAGCTAAACCTACTCAAACTGTGAGTGTGACTAGCTAAACCTGCTCAAACTGTGAGTGTGACTAGCTAAACCTGTTCAAACTGTGAGTGTGACTAGCCAAACCTGCTCAAACTGTGAGTGTGACTAGCAAAACCTGCTCAAACTGTGAATGTGACTAGCAAAACCTGCTCAGACTGTGAGTGTGACTTGCAAAACCAATTCAGACTGTGAGTGTGACTAGCCAAACCTCCTCAGACTGTGAGTGTGACTAGCAAAACCTATTCAGACTGTGAGTGTGACTAGCAAAACCTACTCAAACTGTGAGTGTGACTAGCAAAACCTACTCAAACTGTGAGTGTGACTAGCAAAACCTACTCAAACTGTGAGTGTGACTAGCAAAACCTACTCAAACTGTGAGTGTGACTAGCAAAACCTACTCAAACTGTGAGTGTGACTAGCAAAACCTGCTCAAACTGTGAATGTGACTAGCAAAACCTACTCAAACTGTGAGTGTGACTAGCAAAACCTGCTCAAACTGTGAGTGTGACTAGCAAAACCTACTCAAACTGTGAGTGTGACTAGCAAAACCTGCTCAAACTGTGAGTGTGACTAGCAAAACCTACTCAAACTGTGAGTGTGACTAGCAAAACCTACTCAAACTGTGAGTGTGACTAGCAAAACCTACTCAAACTGTGAGTGTGACTAGCAAAACCTACTCAAACTGTGAGTGTGACTAGCAAAACCTACTCAAAACTGTGAGTGTGACTAGCAAAACCTACTCAAACTGTGAGTGTGACTAGCAAAACCTACTCAAACTGTGAGTGTGACTAGCAAAACCTACTCAAACTGTGAGTGTGACTAGCAAAACCTACTCAAACTGTGAGTGTGACTAGCAAAACCTACTCAAACTGTGAGTGTGACTAGCAAAACCTGCTTATGTTAAGAAATCTGACCCAATTAGAGCATGAGTTTTTAGGACCATTGTTGCTGTTGTATGTATTTTAGGTACTTCTACTCACAAGCTCAGCTTCATCTGTTCATTGTCTTCTGTTTGCTACAGCACGAAGCCTGGGCAGTAATGCAGAGACCATGTGTTTCCAAGCAGCATGATCCCTCACTAGGCTTGCCTTTTTTACTTTAAAGGAAAGGTAACACCAACATGTTTTTGCCTCAAACCCATGATATAAAATAATGCTTTGTATCTGGTTAAGTCAGATCTGGGAAGAAGCAGTGGTGCAGTTGACTAGCATGCTTTCTTGCTGACCTAGTGAATTAGCCTCCTGGGTCAACCAAGTTTCAAAATGAATCATCATCACTATCCTGCAGTGCCATTAAACATCATACAGGGTTCACAGTACAGTCCTCCATTCCATTCTATCCTGTGCAATCCTTTCGATATCACAGAAAGAATCCAACTAAGCACTCCGGGTCTCTCGGATGAAACATTTGCCTAAAGTTTCCTTTGGATGTCCTCATTTCCCTAATCCATCTGTTTCTTATTTCAGTGCCCGTTTAGTGGATTCTCTTTCCGCTTCTCCTCATAACTTAACATGAATACCAGGAACTATTTTTTTTTTAAGTTAAGGTGGCTGTTGTGATACTGATGACATCACACACTGAGTGTGAATCAGGCTTCAGAAAATATAGGGCTAGAAGCAAGTAATAAATATCCCTCAAGCATGAATGAACGAGGATCTGACTTTTACAGGTCACATCTGCTTACCTTGACATCTGAAGGTGGCATCTCATAGACATCATGATCGTCATACTTGTACCACTTTTTGTTTACTGAGTTGCGACAGAATGCCGTATCTATGGAATGCCAAATTATAAGAACATTTGTTTCAAGCTATCAATATCAAAAAAACAAGTCTAATGTGTTAGTATCTGGGATTAGTTATATTTTTTTTTTCAGGACACAGCAAACCAATTACAATAATAACTCTTTGAGTCTCAGGGGGTTGAGCATCAGAACCCCAAGGGGTGGTCAAGAGAGACGTAAAATCGGTGCATCTTGCGTTTACTGGGCTTCTAGGAACCTATGAACGTATGATGCGTTTCTTGGGACTCAAAGAGATACTGCAAAAAAATCACAATAATATTGCAAACCTATCACAAAATTGATTGTTTGCTATGTGGCAAAAAAGGAAAGAGGCCCTGAGAAAAGTAAGGAATCAGTGAAGTGGATTGGATGGCAGGTACGTTTATGAAATGAAATGGGGAAAAAACTGACCAAGATGCCCAGATGTAGGGATTCATTCCATGTTATCTAAAATAACCAAGCCTTATAAAAATATACCAACAGTGGATCATTAAAACATATGAAGGTATTTTAAGAAGAGAAGATGAAAGACAGAATATGCATGTGTGAAGAGGAAGGTACCCCAAAAAAAATCTGACAACTAAATAATATGCAGCAAACACTGCTACCAAAAATGTTTCTGCCTCTGACTCTCAGATAAGAAAAAAGACACACATACACACCTAAAACACAACAAAGGCAAATTTCAAAAAAGTTGAACAGACCAACTTCATACAGATGGAGGAACAATCTAGATGAAATATTAATTTCAAATAATGGTAAGTAAGAAGGAAAGGTGACAAGTAATGAAAGAGAGTGTATTCCCTTTTTTACTTAATATATTGCTCACTGACAACAATGTTCATTCTGGACTTTAATGAAACAACCAACATCAGAACTACTTACAGTGGCCTCCTTCCATTGTGCCATAATGATTCTGAAAGAAACAAAAATTATGAAAATCGTAGCAAAAAATTACAAATATGACAACAATTTAACAAACAATGAAAATATGTTGGTTATTTACTATGAAATGTAACAAGAAAGCAAAAAAAAAAAAAAAAAAAAAAGGACACTGAGGGGCTGTGGATAAAAAAACTTAACTTTCGTATAGTATTATTGACAAAGTTATCAGACTGTGTAGATTGAATGGTCAGTGAACCAAATGAGAAATGATATGCCTCATAAGCAATTGGCAGGTGTTAGGCTAATACTTTCAGTGACTGAGTTAAAATAAACAAGAGAAGTAATAAAACACTAGCTGTTCACCACTGTGTATTACCTGTGTGAGTGAGGAACTTCCATCTTTAAAAATAGGAAAGAGCTGAAGGACTGTCCCCCTCCCCCTTTCCCCCCCCCAAAAAAAAACACACGTTAAAAAAAATAAGTGGGGGCGAGAGTATGTTGAAATGCTGTGGTTAAACAAGTCCAATTTCATACACTATTAGCTACAAAGGGAACAGTGGTAGGGTGGTGGTTAGATGCTCACCATCTGGCCCAAAGGCCTCAGGATCAAATCTGCATCATGTTGGACTGATTTTGGTCTATGACTGCTCGTCTAAAATAATATGAGTTCCGCATCACGCGGTACGGTTGTGAAGCTGGGAAAAAAAGGTTCTTTTTCCACACCTTTAGGTGTATTGGGAATATAGGGCTAGACCTATATTTTTAAAGAGCAATTGGCACTTTGTGGGTGATGAGGTCAGCATCATGCCGGCCACCTTTACTTCCCAGAACTGCATCTGGTACCCACTCAAAGCTGGGTCGACTTTTGAGTCTAGGTCATTGCTGAAAAAAAAAAAAGTCTGGCTCCGCTAGGGCGCGAACCCACGACCTTCCGATCTAGCTGCCAACGCCATGGCGACTCTCACTGGTGTAATGAGGGTCCTTTATTTAATACTTAATTCCAGTGTGTTTGGTCAAAAGGATTAGATATCACAGCTTAGCTCTAACAAGCCGCCAACCACCCCTTTTAGTGGAAATGCAAGGGGAAAAAAAAGAAGAAAAAAAGAAGAATTACAGTGTATTACCAGGATGCATGAGGGAAACACAGAACAGCACTGCAACCCACCATAGATGCCACAAGAAGCAACTAAAGAGAGTAGTGTGTGACTGACTACTTCAGGGGTTCTCAATCTTTTTCGAGTCAGGACCTCATTTTATAGAAGAAAAGTCACCTGTGGCCCCCACAGATTATGAATAGGCTGTCTAATAGGGTAAGTCAAAACATACTGAGAAGGCTTCAATATATTTTCTCTGTAAAGAGCGTGATGACATATTTTTCCCCATTAAACAAATTTGTATGGCTCACCACTGCCCGGCGACCCCATAGAAAACACTATGTGACCCCATCTGGGGTTGAAACCTTCGGGTTGGGAACCCCTAGACTACTTTTTTCTGTATAAAACTGAAACTGTAGAATACAACCAATCATGAACAAAGTGTGTAAGGTGGTTGATGGTCTATACTTCACTGGAGACAAAAAAAGCAGTATAAGAAGAAAATCTTAATGCTGTGGCAACTAACCCTTCAACCTTTATAAAAACCTGTCCAGTTCAACAGAGGTAATTGGTGCAGAAATGATAGTATTTTTGGTTTTTGTTGAAATGCTAAACACAGAGAGTGATCAAATTAAAAAAAAACCACCATGTTATGACAATATCAAATGCATAACTAAGTGCAGCTAATGTGAGCACACAGAGAAACTTCTCTAACTAAAGTATATTTTACTGAAAAATTGATTAAAAAGGACTGTTTTTAAATAGCTGCATTTGTGATAGCTGATAGACCAGTCGGCCCTCAGTGGGCGATGTGGTCAAGATCAAGATGACCACTAATCAATGAAAACAGGAAAATATGGCTTAAACATAGTGTCCAGAGTTGCAGTATGGTTAAAAAGATATATTCTGAGCAAAACATAAAAATGAAATAAAAGAAACTACATACTGATATTCCATATAAACTGTAACTTAGTCGAGGCTTTGGTCCAATAACACAGGGAGACAGATCAAGATCATCAATAGGAAAGTCAACATATGTTGTCTTTTTCTGCATCCACATGCCTTCACTGTAAAACCTGCCAAAGAATGTAAAAAAAAAAAAATATAGACTACCATCACTAATTCTTTTGTGCCCACAATATTCAATATTACATTCAGGAGTACATGTGTATGTGTTTTGCTGTATTCAAGCTAAATAAAGAATTTAATTTCAACTGCACAGCTGGGGGTAACATTAGGATTGGCATGAGATTTGCTACTTCATGCCATAGCAAACTTTAGCTTTAAAATCCAACCAATGCTAACAAATCTACAAATGGTTTGGCGTTAGTTAAGAGAATCTGCTCCAATAAATGATGCAAATGAAAACAAACAATTTAAGAGAATCAGTCTCTGTTGCTCAATCTTAGTTTCCTCCAGCACTCTATCATCTAATATGTTTTTGATTTATCTGATATCTAAAAATATTAATGACAGATCCCTCAGGAATACTAACATGTGTATGTGTATTTTGCTTTAGTCAAGCTAGAAATTTTTTTTTAAAATTCTAACTACACATCTAAAGAATTCAAGTAATCAGGTAATCGAAATTCAAACTTCAAAACGAACGAGTCACTCAATAGTTGCTCTATTCCTGTGCCAATGAAAACCACACAGAATGACCATCACTGTCCCTTGCGAAAAAATTGACACAGACTGCAGTCTCAGCCAATAGCATACACACACAATAAATGCACAAGGCAGTCATCAGAAGTGCCAACACAAACAGTCCGCATTAGAAATGCAGTTCACTGTCAATGGAAGCAGCAGTTACAGTTGCACATGCAATTAATCGAAAAAAGTCATCACTTCTTCTCTGGTAATAGGCCACTAGCCATTTTCTGAATCTGCAGATGACAAAACAAACCATGAAGTGCACAGTCCAAAAGCATTCTAAATAAAATTCACAGCTCACAGTATCGAGCCATATATTCAACTCAGCAGTTCAGTGATATAATTATTTCCTTTCAGTCTCCATATGGAGGAAAATGTAAGGGATATCTATTGTCAGAAGCAAAAACTTGCCAGAACTAAAAACAGTAATCTTCCTATCCACCACACTGACCAGAAGTAAAAAGGTAACTGAGGAGGGCTGACATGAGACTGGCTACCTCATCCCACAGAAAACTTAAGCTGCAAAATCCAACCTTCATATTCAGGTTCTATAAACTGCTTGGCATTAGTGGGTCTAAGTTTCAAGAGAAGATGAAAGTCAAAAGAAGAAGAGAAACCATCTTTGTTGCCCTATCTCAATGCTCCCCAGCACTCACTTGTCTAATATGTTTCATGATTTCTCTGACATCTCGTATAGGTACTGATGACAGATCATTAACTATGGCTCCATCAATGGTTTGGTAAACATTGTTAGTCCATGCTGCAGCTGAATTTTGCAGTGGATATGAACCAACCTGTAATGCAAACATGCCAGGGAAGAGACAAGGAATTCCACCCTTGGTCACCTGACCAGATGGTTATGGCTAAGACTGCTATGCCAGCAGCTATACAGTTCACCCGATCATCATGAGATTGGGACCATTTATTTCTTGATTTGGCGTTTGTTCTTGGAATCATTGTGTGCTCTCCAGTCAAGTCTTAATGGGATCACAATATGTCTATATGTCTATGGGCGGATGATCAAACTTTAAATGGGAAGATCCCTGATCTACCAGAGATTTCTTTAGTACAAGCTTACCCATAATCTGGAGTGTCAACCCAGTTAGCTAATTATGTCTCAAACAGTTGTTTCTTGAACCCACTTTATCCCTGTTGTAACTTCATCCTCTCACTAATATCAACAGTCATAATAAGACAGAGAAGATGAGGCTACAATGGACACATCCTAAGAAGAAACCAGCAAAGAATCAGCAAATAGGCATTAAAATGGGGAAAAAGGAATTAAGGAAACGAGGGCACCCAGAAGAAACCCTAAGACGAATGTTGATGAGAGAGGCCAAAGGTGCTGGACTGGATTCCATTCACAATATTGAACTGATTGCACAAGAGAGAATGGAATGGAGGAAGAGACTGTGAGCCCTATGTGACATATAATGGCATAACAGGACAATAAATGAATAAACTTCAAGGTTTGCTGTCTCAAACTGTTATTTAATCTCCTTCTGATGCAGCAGTAGTTACTTTAAGGTAATAACTGCCTGGGATATAAAAGGCTAAAATAACAGTTCTTACTCTCTTCCAACTGTACAGTAGCAGCTTGGGATAATGTCAGAATTCCACCAAAACAATATCTCAACCCCATCCTAGCAGCGTTGGGTAATGTCGCCATTCCACCATTAAAAATATCTGAAATCTACAGCAAAAGCATTGGGTAATGTCCCCATTCCCCCACAGAAATATCTGAAATCTACAGCAAAAGCATTGGGTAATGTCGCCATTCCCCCATAGAAATATCTGAAATCTACAGCAAAAGCATTGGGTAATGTCCCCATTCCCCCATAGAAATATCTGAAATCTACAGCAAAAGCATTGGGTAATGTCGCCATTCCCCCATAGAAATATCTGAAATCTACAGGAGTAGCATGGGAGTAATGTCATGATTTTAATAAAACAACAACTCAACTCTACCAAAATGAATATTCTAGAAAGAGGGAATGCAGCCTAAAAATGTCATGTTATGGCAGGGTAGACCAGACCCTTAGAATTGGTTGCAAACTGGTCGAGGGGGGATAGGCAGACAGAGCACTGCTTTGGAGTAAATAAGGTAGGCCAAGAAAAGGATCATGCTGCATGGGCAACACATGGCCTCTACAATTCTGCCCAGGCTTTGGGCTATGGAGAGGAGAAATCCTGATTATCACCATGGCCTGTGATTCCCATGCCTCCTCACTGCATAACACTCGCTTCTGGAAAGCTGGATCGAGGACAAACCAATCAAACAAACAATCAAAGCTGATGACTGTGAGACTGATCATATTACCTGTTGAGACCAATCAAAAGGATCGGGGGAAGCTTCCATAAGTCAATCTTTTTCTCAGAATCTCTTTCCACTTTACAGCGGGGACACTTCCATCTGCTGCTGCCAGACATTAGTTCTGGTTTCAAGAATTCCTGGATACACTCCTAGAGTTTCCAAATCAAACAGCTTCATTATAAAGGTGTGTGAATAAATTTAATGTATACAGTCTACATATATTACAGTTCTGAAAAGAAAAAACCCACTACAGTTCGATAAATAACAGATCATACTTTTTTGGTAATGTAGCAAATATCATACATATTGACAGTCTTGATTTTAAAATGAATTTTAACTTTAAACTGTATAAAATAAGCTAAACTAGTATACAGAAAAAAAAAATACAGACGGAATAGAAAAACTTCTTTTACCTTTAGGGAACATCGAGAACTTGCAGGGATTGGTAAAGAAAGAAACATGAAAGCCTGGAATGTCACTGAAGTTTTTTTACACGTACGGCACATCAGAGTTGACTTCAACTGGCCCTGAATATGATGTATTACAAATTATTGCACAAAACAAATTTTATTTTTTTAATTACTGCAATAATTTACTGAAGACTGATCACTCATTTCATATTTCACTCAATTTATACATTCTTCTTCTTCTTCTACATTTAATTCCCTAGTGAAACACAAGCCCCAATCAACTCAACCCCTTGTATCTTTTGCAAGCTCCCTTCATTGCCTACTCATATTATTAATTTCTGTCTCTGATGCTCTCTTCTCTGTGTTTTTAGGTCAGCCTCTACTTCACTTAGAAGGTTCCTCCAGTAAAAAGCTAAAATGTATTAATCAATTCATATACTAGTAGACAACCATCAGTCTCTAAGAGCCATGGAGTTGTGCTGTTGGTTTTGGGAACAGCGTCTGCGATGACAGTAAAGTCCAATGCAGAAGTGGCAGTCTCTGCCACAAAGTCCACATACAAATGTTGATGTCATATTATACTGAGGCTGATTTCTCTTACTCAACATGAGTACAACAATGGGTTTTTTGTGTGGCTTTTCTTGGCACAAGGGTGGAATAACTATGGGGTGACAGATTTGCTGTGAAGTTAGAACTGCGACTACTTGAATGCAGTGTACTTTTTAAAAGCTGAGGATAACAGAAAGACATGTAAAACCTAATAATGGAAGAAAACTCAACAACAAAATAATCACTAACTGTAAATCAATGCCTACCTGAAACAACTCAACTATGATTGACTTATGCAGTAACTTGTGGTGTTTCCAAGCGAGAGGAGCAGCAACTGTGTCAGGCAGATTATCATTGTTTTGCTCTGGGATATCTGGCACATGTTTCACCTGCAGATGAAAGCAATGTGGCTACAAGAATGTCCAATTTTTAGTGGTTCTCTATCGGAATGTGGAGCACACTTTAATTCAGCAGATAAAATAAATCTGACACTGTGGCATTAAAATCTTGTGAATAGTTTCTTCTTAGCATTCACCAGATATAAACTAGTTGAAAGTTCTGGTTTTCTGTCCACATCTGGACTTAGGTTTTGTTCCAGAACTTGAGCTGTGCATGCACATACATTTTTCAGATCTGGTTTATTTGTATGCAAACTCTTGGTTCCTTGTCTCTCAGGCAGATTTACTCCGACTTGGAAGTAAACACCTCTAATTAATCACCTTTTTACAACATTCTTTGTTAGAGCCACAATGGGTCAACTCCCTCCCCCTTCCACCCCCTAAAAGGGGGCCCCTGACCCCACTCAGTGTGTAAAGCCTTTCCTTTCCGGGCACTCTCTGGTGTAGAAGTAATCAACTGATGGTAAAGTCATTATTGTCACAATGCACTTTTTTTTCCCTTCTCATGACATACTAAACTAATGTGGATTGTCCTCATCTCATGTAAGTAATCAACTCCTACAGTGAGTCAGTTTTGCTCAGGATATCTTCTTTATGTTATTTATGTGTCCATGGTCCATGGTGTTTTATTCATTATTCTTTAACCCTATTTTTGCAGCTTTCATGTAATTTCTCACTATCTACAGACTTCCCGGGTAGTTAGTGTCCTTTGGATATTTTCTCCAGGAAATAATGGTGTGTTGGGAAATGAATTGTCAGATAGGTTGGTGGGCTCTGTAATACCTGGTGGTAAATTATGCATGACAAGCTAAATGTTGTAAGGGCCCTTAGGAGCCGGTAATCAGTGCGGAGGTTGAAATTTATCATCACTGTCTGAAAAGAGTGGTGGAACAAGGAATGACCAGGGAATATGGCCGACACGCAACACTCAGTGAAGGGGTAAGACAGACATACAATCAGACTAAATACTGAATGTTAAAGGCTGAATTAGGAATCGGCGTCACAGCACTCTGGACACTCCCATAAGCACTATGTCCCCATTTTCAACAGCAAGCGAAGAGTTCCAATTCTGATGGTACATGTAACTGTTTGTATATCTGTCTTCCCCTTCCCCTTCCCTTGAGTGTTGAGCATCAGCTAGATCCCCTGGTAACTAGCCATTCTCATCAGACTGTAATGATATATTTGCGCCCCCTCAGTGTTCACTCACTCCCAGAGAGCCCTCACAACATCTAGCTTGTCATACATCAATTCACCACCAAGTGGTGCAGCACCGGCCAGTCTATCTGCCTCCTCATTTCCCAAAACACCAACATGACCTGGAGAAAATATCCAAAGGAAGCTAACTACCTGGGATCTCTGAAGTGATGCTTGCAACTCTGCATGGAGCATGCCTGACTCCACCTTTCTTAACATGCTCTGCGAATCAGTTGCAATGACAGCATGTGTGTACAGCTGATTCTCAAGCCAGCAGAAGGCAGTGGTGACTGCCTCATCCTCCATTCTATCTCAAACTAGATGTTGTGATTTATATGCCACACTTTGTTGCACTAAGTGATGTAAATTTGCTATTTCTATGAACCCCCATGCACTTTGTCTGCATCTCAGTACAGAGCCATCTGTATAGATAAACAGACTGTTACTGGTACCATCAGAAGTGGAACTCTACATCTGCTTGCAAAGATGAAGATCCAGAGTACTAATATGTCAGTTCTTAACTCATAAATATCTGCTGACTGTCCATGATTTAGCTCCTCACATCAAGACTGGTTATTCAGAATTCTCTTCAAACCACAAACAATTAGTAAATAGCTAGTAACATTCTTGTTTGAACTGCCATTTTACTGCACAGATGGGAAACAACTTAGTACAGAAAGCCCAGACAGATATGTCACTAGGAACTAGCAAACAAATACAACAGTTTTCTAAATCACGATAAATAAGTGTGTCAAATTCAGTGGGGAAAAGAGTGAAAGTGCTATTTAGAACTTGTTTTGCTATATGCATGTAAGAAATGAACAATAAGCAGACAAGCCAAAAAACATTTACTTGTGGCAGGGAAGTGGGTTTTGAGAAGAAAGCAAAAACTATCATGGAGGGATAGAAAACTAAATGAAGCAGTCCTCTTCAGAATAGGTGAAATATGCAAACTTATTGGAACAATTTGATGTATATAGTCAATGTTTTTTGGACAGTTTGAAAAAAAAAAATTGGGAATAAACTTGAGAACTTGATGACGACCAGCAAAATTGATGGAAAGAAAGTAAGAAGAAGGCAGAGAGATAAATATCAAGATGGCTTGGCCAGAGGGATGTGGCGAGACAAAAATATTGAACTGATACATGATTCTGGTTAAGATGTGAGATGGCGAAACATGACAGCCTATGCTTACTAGTATGGCGCATGAGATGATGATGACGATCCATAAACTGAAAAATCCTACCTCGTTTAATCCCTCATGGAGACCATCCAGAAGAAAGGTGAGAAATTCCTGTGAATCCTGTTGCTGGTAGCCAGCAAACATAGGGTTGTACTTAGCAACTGTATTCTACATTGTTTTTAATGATGAGAAGAAAACATGCTCCATAAGACCACAAATAACACAGAAATCATCAACAATATTTACAAATGTAACGGAGAAACTGAACAAGAAATCAGGAGTGGAGAAGGAGAAGGGAGGAGGAGGGTAGGTCTTTTCTGTTTAATTTAAGATTATTTAGCTTGACTTTTGTTAAATCAAGGAATTCTCCATGTTTGGAAGTTACTGCCACCATAACCTTGCTTGTCCAATTCTGAATACTTAGCTGTACTTAATTAATTACACATTCTGCAATCTTCTTCTCCTTCACTTTCACTGGCTGTAAATTCTGGTGGAAAGTTCTAGGTGTTGACTCACCTACGGACTTTAGTCTTGTTCCACAACCTGAGTGTTGTGTGCACTTCTGTTTCACAGATTCAGCTAATTTGCATGCAGACTCTTGGTTCCTTGCCTCTCAGGCAGATATACTCTGATTTGAAGGATGCCCCCAGTTAGTAAACTTCTACGACATGTGTGTTAGAGAGGCAGTGTGTCTATTCTTGTTTTCCCCACAACGGGGCCCCGGAACACACACAGGGCATATTCTTCATTCTGTGACATGCTGCTTTTTCAGCGGCTGTTTTAAATATTGAACTGATTACAGAATATGTAATAACTGTGTGTCACATAATCATCATTTTACTATGCCCTGCCAAGCAGTGTAGGTGCTGATGTGTCTCCACATTTCAACAGCTGTTATTCTGAATCAATTTCACTGATTATATTCTTCCATGACATCACTCCAGGCGGTCAAGCATCTTTTTTCCTGGTCTGCCTTTTCTACCACTGATCTTTCCAGTAATCACAATGTTCTCCAATGCCTCTCTTCTCATCACATGATCGAAAACACAGACTGACTCTTTCTTATATATGTATATGGCTTTCGACTAGGGCTGTACCGAATAGTGATTTTCACCATTCAGCCGAATACGAATAGCTGGACCAACTATTCGGCCGAATACGAATACTGAATCATCATCATCAGGTGCTTAACTGACTGGCATGGGCGATTATGCCTCGCCACAATCTGCGATCTCCTGCAGCATGTATTAGTTTGTGTGCTGACACACCTCCATGCCATGCAACAAGACTGTCAACAATCTTCTCTCGTTGTCTTCCTCTATCCCTCCTTCCACATATCTTTCCAGTGGTCACCCCATGTTCCATTTTCCCTCATCTTATAACATGGCCGAAAATTGATGACTGTCTCCTTCTGATGTCTGTGAGTAGTTGTCTTCGGACTCCCGCCTCTATCAAAACCTCTTGGTTGTTTTTTTTTTTGGCTGTCCAATGTATTTTAAGCATTGTTCTGTAAAACCACATCTCTGAGGCCTCAAGAAATTGTTTGGCCTGCCTACCGATTGTCGAGGACTTACAGCCATATGTTAAAACTGTATGTAGCAAGCAAGAATTCTTTTTCTAACCTTCAATGACAAAGATATATTGCATAAGATGTTCTTCATTTTATAAAATGCAGTTTTTGCCTGTCCTATTCTGTTTCTTATTTCAGTTATGCATCTTCCATCTGATGTTATCAATGTGCCCAAATTCTTAAATTTCTGTACTTGTCCCAAAATAAAACCATTGACTTTTATTACGCATTTAAGAATAATTATTTTCTTTGATACCACCATTACTTCTGTCTTCCCACTATTCAGACTGATGCCAATTCTTCCACTTTCATGTATAAAATAGATCTAAAAAAAAAAAAAACACATCCATAATGTCAAATGTACGATGAAATTTTAATTCACAAAATGTGACAAAACATTTCATGTTTTGCATCCTTCAGTCAGTCAGTCTGTGGTAACTAATACCTAGGAATGAAAGTATTCTTAGTTTTAAAACAAGTAACTAAACTTGTAAATTGTCACTGACAGCTTAGTTAATCCATGAAAGCGGCATGAGCTTTCCCCCCAAAAAATTGTTCCATGTTGTCAGCATTAAGGCAGCTTCTTGTCTCACTGAAGGTATTTCCAGCTGTACTAAACAGACGTCACTTGGTACGCTCGTCGGTGGTGCACAAACATAACGCTTGACTGTATGAACCAAGGTGGGAAACCTTGATATGTTTATTTTCCACCAGTCCAGAAACGGGTGTAAGGTAACGACTATTCATATTCGGCCCGACCGTAACTATTCGGCAGAAAACCAAATAGTTATTAGTTCCACTATTCGGCCTCGAAGCAAATAAGAAGTGAATATTCGGTACAGCCCTACTTTCTACTTTCATCAGCCATTTCCAGGCAGTTGATGTTAGTTACTCTGGCTGACCATGTATTTGCAGAATACGTCTCAGAAACGACATCTCCATAACCTCCAGGTTCTTGTCACATAAATACAAAATAAACTGTAAATATCACAAGTGGAACATTTATGGAAAAAATACAGGAAAACAAAAGACAATTTTTGACAGTTTTTGTCAATGCATGGAAATATATCAGTGTGTTGACAATTCTAGTAAGAAATAGGAAAGGGAAAGTTAGAGAAGAACCTAGAGAAATGATATGGAACAGTTTGAGACAACAGTTATAAAGAATAAAGAGACAGGTAAGAACCTAGACAGATGATAAGGGACAATTTGACAAGAAAGTTACAATGAATAAAGACAAGAAAGTTACAATGAATAAAGACAAGAGAGTTACAATTAATAAAGACAAGAACAGTACAATGAATAAAGACAATAAAGTCACATGAATAAAGACAAGAAAGTTACATTGCATAAAGACAAGAAAGTTACAATAAAGACAAGAGAGTTACAATGAATAAAGACAAGAAAGTTACAATTAATAAAGAAAAGAAAGTTACAATAAATAAAGATAAGAAAATAAGAAAAAAAAAAATACAAGCAAAAACATTGAGAGAAGATATGAGAAAGTTTTACAAGAAAGTTAAAGTGAATAAACAAACAATGAAGCATATAAAGAGAAAACTATAAGACAGTTTGACAAAAAGGCTATACAGTTAAAGAGACAGTGAAGGGTGTATAAGATATGAGACAGTTTGACTAAAAATTTTGCCGGGCGTATCCAGAATATTTTTAAAATCCTTTTTTTATGTCCTTGACCCCCCTCCCCCCCCCCCACCCCTCATTGCCTGTGGATTCAGGGGTATCAACACTGTTTATGTTAATTCTAGTAAAGGCTTTTTGACCAGGGAATCCACGAGGTGTTGGCATGTTGGCCAAGTCAATATTTTGATTCTGTGTTGACTTAGGACAGGAGTTGTCAGAGCAGCCTGAGTCAATATTTTGACACTGTGTTGACATGAGACCGAAGTTGACCAGTGGATTCACAAAGTGTCAAGCGGCCTGGGTAAACAGTCATACGGGGGGAAAAAGGTGTGAAGCGTGCATGAGTGTGGGTATCTTAATTATCACGAAGTAAGCACAGAGAGCTCACATATGTATATACAGGGGCCCAAGAGTGCAGTAGAGGAGGCAGTCCAGTTGACAAGAGTCGAGCAAAGAGAGCTGTGTTTTCCTCTCTAAGAAAACTAGTCTTGGGTGAGGACGCGTGTGGTGGTCATGTTCACTACTGACATTGTGGGGAAAACAAGAATAGACCCACTGCCTCCCCAAAAGCATGTCGTAAGAGTCGACTAATTGGGGAGCTTCCTTTGAAGTCGGAGTGCATCTGCCGGAGAGGCAAGGAACCGACAGTCTGTATTCAAGAGAATGAGATCTGTAAAACTGATGCACACGCAACACTCAGGTTCTGGAGCAGGACTGCAGTTCAGTAGTGGACGAGCAACCAGAACCTTCTGCCAGAGTTTACAGCTGGTGAACGCGAAGAAGAAGAAGAAGAAGAAGAAGCTGTCTGCTGATGGGACTCAGAGTTTTGGAGTCCTGTTGGTCATCATAGAATTCCTCGACGTGGCTGTTTTGCTGTGTGCATATTAGGAAACTTAAGTACTGCAGAGGTTCCCTGTCAGCCGATGTAAAAGTGTCTGTTACTGAGATAGCAAAGAAGGTCATGCTGAGTAAGTCAGATGGAGCTTCTTCATTCTTACTGCTAGCCCTGACTTGAGGACTGGACAACGACCGAGGCACGGATGCAGTGAACTCGAGAGTCCAATTGTGAATGCTGTGTTTTGGAGAATGTGGAGCTTGAGGGGGGTTAATTCTATGTTAGCTAGTGTATAGGCTGTATATTATGTTGCTCCATGTCCATTCACTGTGTGCGGTTTAATAGACCCGAACGTTCTTGTGAAATAAATATATGACGGTTATGTGTTGAGTCTTTCTGATTGTGTGAGTGTTGCAGAGTTTGAGCGCAAATCGTAACCTAGACACTTGACCATATGTTCGTATGTTGCCACCTATTTTCAGCATACAGCACACCTCCCCCAGTGAAGCATAGGTCTTAAACCAACTCACGCTAAGTCATCCTATCCTCTTTCATCTCAAGCAGCTCACCCCAATGTCTTCGCCATCTTTTTAGTTCACTCTCTAGTTCCCTTCTCCATGTGTTTTTTGGTCTGCCTTTATTTCTATGCCCATAAAATATTAATTAGATGAAAATATATATAGTAATTTACCTTGAGGTCTCTAGGTGTTATGGACTTGTACTGCTGTGACCACAAGGCTTTCACAACAATAGCAAAATCATCAACCACTTCACCATGCATCCCCTTGGAACTTTCTCTGTCAGTTAAAAAACACAAAGAATACTTGAAATTATTCTTACTATTTGTCGCAATAATGAAACATGTCACAATATAAAGCTTCTGGTCCCTATTAAACATGTATCACAACTTGTAATAATTAACATGTATCATAATTTGTAATTATTAACAAGAACCATAATTTGTAATTATTGTCATCACTTCTGATCACTGACATGTATCATACTTAAAATCCCTCGCAAGTTTTCCTCACCTGTACTCATTAAAATATATGACAATGTGTAGTCATTCACATATATCACAACTTCTGATCATTGAAATGTGTCACAACATCTAATCAAGAACGTGTAACATAACTTATAATTAGTAACAGTTATCACAACTTCTAATTATTAATTTAATCCAAATTAATAACATTTATCCCAAATCAAAACCTGCATCACAACATGTAATCATTAACATGTATCGCAACTTTTAATCAAGAACATGTATCCCAACTTATAATTAATAACATGAATCAGAACATTTAATCATCAGGTATTACAATGTCTAATCAAGAACATTTATTACAATGTCTAATTATTAATAACTGTAACCATTACCATGTACCACATCTTTTAATCATATACCTGTTGATATCATGAAGGTAGGAATCATTCAGAAAATAGTTGATCAATGGGGAGGTGTTGTTCAAACACTGAATTGTTGAGTTCATGTAGCAAGTGTTGCCCAGGTTTCGAAGACCAGTGAGAGCTGGACCCTAATGATTATCAAATTATAATTTATTTGAAACAGTGATAAGGTAATCTAGAAACTTTTATGTTTACAAAATAAAATACTCTGATATTCCTCCAGTTTAATCTTCTTCTTCTTCTGCTGTTCTTCATCCTCTAACAGTGAGAAGGCACTCAGCTACTTGTACTAAACCTTTCTATCCTTTGCTATCTCATTACATGTACTCCTAATCTTATTTATCAAATTACAAGTGTGACAGAAACTGCAATAACCATGACACTGTACTGTGACCTTCAATATTTTTCTAAGTATGTCAAGAGTGTTAAGCAAGCATTAAAAATGGACAATATAATGCTGCTCCTCTTTGGTGAATGTCAAAAGTGGGGTGGTCATCTTTAAACTGTCATTATGACATCATGTATTTGTCTGGATCATGTCACATGCTTGACAACCCTAACAACAATACTGACAAGTTATATGACAATGGCAAAAGTTTTGCAATTTCTATCACACTTTAACGGTTTTCATGTGAAGCAACTTCATTTTTTTCTCTCTTCATTTTTGTTTAATTGGTACCCTTAAGGTCATGTGGTTCCCAGCTCACTACATTCTTGTTATACTATTATCAGGTTTTTCTATATATTTATTAAGAACCAACATCTTTTTTTTCAGATCTCGGTTCATTGGACTTTTCTTTAGCAGTTGAATCTATAAAGTTGTACATAATGTGATACATTGTGCTTAAAAACAGCATATAATTTAACAGTCTTCTTCTTCTGCATCCATCCTTAAAAGGGTGTTGTCATGCTAAAGATTTACAGCTATGCTGCAATATCTTCATCTTTTGCCCAAACAAATCCAATTTCTGCAACTCCCAAACTGGTCACTTCTGATGATGTACTGTTAGGGGGCAGTGGGTGTATTCTTGCACCCCCCCCCCCCCCCAACCCCCTTTCCACCTTACCTAAAGTGCGGCCCTGCAGCCCACACCGGGAAAGCCTTCAAACTTACAGAACCATCTGTTTCAACTAAATGTTTTGCCAAGTGGCATACATGGGCAGGTGTCTAGAGAGCTTTTATGAGTTATAAAAAGCATGGAAGTGAATCACAGACAGTTTTCAGACTCATCAGAAAATATTTAGTCACCAAAGATATGCTTCTATCAAAAAATCAGGACCCAATTAAAAGAAGAATGAAGAATCTTGAAGAAAACTAGCTCATGGTCAGAACTTCTTCTTCTTCTGCCTTTCTAGCCCCCAATGGAGAATTGGCCCTCAGCCAACTTAAGCCAAGTCGTTCTATCTTTTGTTATCGCATGCAGCTCTCTCCATGTCCTCCCCATCTTTCTAACTTTATTCTCTAGCTCCCTTCTCCATTTGTTTTTTTTAGCCTTTCTTTATTCCTATGCCCATGCGGGTTCCAGCGCAAAGACATTCTAGTTACAGTCAGAACTACTCACCCATTTAAAGCAGGCAATCCACACACTTAGATCATCACCACATACAAAAAGCAAATGTGTCTGGCATGATACTGACCACAACACCTATTGAATGCCTACTAATCTATATAAAAAGTATGCCAAACAAGGTTGTGAAATTGGTTTATTACTTTTACAATGCGTACTTGGTTCCTTCCAGTTTTACCCTTTATCCAAGATGGCTAAGTGTACCACACCTGCATCAATGCTAGTATAACACTGAACATACCAATCCTTGTATCCAACAAAACAGATGATACTGCATGACTCAACATGAAAGAAAAGGACAGAAACTAGCTGATGTACTCACCACATTTCCATAAACGGGATTGAGATCTCGTCTTTTAACAACATATGCATTCTGTCTTGGCAGGGTTTTAGAAGGGCTGGAATGAAACATGTTCTTGTAGGATTACAGTAAGATTAGTATTTGTAACAAATAGAAGTAACATTATATAACAAATCTCATATATAGTTCACTTCTCATTTACAACTCATCTCACACATAACTCATCTCACATATAATTTATCTAGCATACAACACATCTCTCACATATATTTTATTTCTCATTTACAACTCATCTCACACACAACTCATCTCACATATAATTTATCTAACATACAACACATCTCTTACATATATTTTATTTCTCATTTACAACTCATCTCACACACAACTCATCTCACATATAATTTATCTAACATACAACACATCTCTTACATATATTTTATTTCTCCCAAGTCATCATGACTGCAAAATGTCTGCATCCCTTCCTCTCTGCTTATGCATTCAAAAATGAGCATGTATAACTGTATGCACTGATCAGCATGTATGTACACATCAACATGCACAAACATGAGAAAATGAATACTACAATTCTCCTTTTTCGTATTTACTGACTGTAAACCTTGGCAGAAAGTTCTGGTTATTCATCTACTCCTGGACTCTGGTCTTGGTCCAGAACTTGAGTTTCACATGCACATCCTTTTGTCAGATCTAGCTCATTTGTATGCAGACTGCTGGTTCCTTGCCTCTCTGGCAGATGCATTCCGATTCTGAAGGAAACACCCCTAATTAGTCTACTTATTACATGCTTTTTAGGGAGAAGTTGGTCTATCCTCCCCCTCCCCCCAACAACAATGGAGCTGTTGAACCCACACAGGGGATAACACTATACAAGAATCAGAATCTCTAACCACATATTTTGTTGCCTTTCATCTCTCAAATGGAACATACACCCTCAACCAACTCATACCAAGCTGTTTGTAAAGTGTTCATGTTTGGTGGATTTTGCAGCAAAGTTGTGTTTTTCAAAACAAATGAGGCAGTGCGTCTCATGCCAATCCTCCTTATGACATGCATGGTAGATTACAGTGTTGCTTACTTTGTTTTATTTATGGGCTTCTAATAAAATACACGAATAAATTTATTTAAAATACTAATAGAGATAAAATGTTCTAAACAGAAACGATTATCTTTTGTGACAGATCTTAACAACAGCAACAAACAAATATAAACTGAGTTACCTAATACTTGGTTTACTACTGCGGTCAAAGGAGGGCATCACATTCCTTGCTCTTTCTTCCTCTTCTTCCAGCTGCTTCTTAATATTTGGAGATGAGTGTGATCGAGACAAACCTCGGGACACAGACACACTTGGTTCATCTTTCAAGCGTGCTGTATATGTTTCTGTTATAGAAGTTTATTGCAATAACAATAAATATCTGATATGCACATATGAGGTCAACTTTAGCAGCACAAAAGTTAGTAAGAAAAGCCTAAGAGGCAGTGGTCGACCAGCACGACAATGAGGACAACCTCGGCATGAAAGTTCTTGAGGTAGGTAAACTAACAAGGGACCGAGTGGATCTCTGATGTGATGTTCTGCAAAGGACCTACAAAAGGATGACGATGATGACGCTGAAAAAAAGTTTCAGGCAAGCAAAGAGGTAGAAAAAAAAGGGGGAGGGGGGGGGGAGAATTACATGAAGAGATGGGCGAATAGTGGTCTCAGAGAATGTACAACCAGGGTAAGAGACAGAGAGTGTTGCAGATCCACTGAGCCGATCTTAATTCTGGAAACAACATGAGAATAAGTACACATTTTAAATTGAAGGTTTTTCATAAAAGATCAGCACAAATTACATTAGAACCTATGGTATGAATATTTACAAACAAACATTAAATGCAATTAAATTATTTTCTGTTAAATGTTAGTTGACCAATCCTTGGGTCTGTATTTCCAAATGTGCATTGTGGGAGGCCAGTGTTTATTTGTCTTGTCCTCAAAAATAATATGTCTATAACTATTTTCTAAGCATTCTAACTTTTAACTTCTTTCTTCTTCTGCCCTAATGTGTACGCTATTACAGAGAGTAGTTATATGTAGTTTCCTGTCTTTTGCTAGTTGCACAGCTTGTGTTAATGTAATACTGTGTTTCCGTAGTCTCTCTTTTGCTCACTCCCACATGCACTTTTATTTTTCTAGGACTGTTCAGTCTGGAAAAACATGACAAGGCAGATGTGGTCAAGGCCCTTTGGGAAGAAACAAGATTATTATGGCCTGGATAGAATGAGGCACCTGGGTGTAACCAGAGGGTCTGGCCAGCTCACTACACGCAGAGGAAAGGTAAGACGGACTTTTAACCAGATTGTGACCGGAACCATCAGTATTGGAACTCTGCGCTGGCTGCTGATGAGAATGGAGCATGCATGGAAATGCCCTGAGGGCTGTGATGTCAATTCTTGACTCAACTCAACTCAACTGTTCAGTCTGGCACTGACAGAAAAAACACTGCTACAAATAGCGCATTTATCAGCTGCTTTTTTGTGTGTATGCTGACACTCTGATACGTCAGAAATAGGTCCTTTTGGTAATTTATGTTGTTGGCTTCTTGTATTCTGTTCTCTATTTCTCTGTCCGGTCCTTCATTCTCTGTGAATACACTGTGAATAAACTCTTTAGCCTGCTTTCATTTCACCTCTTCAACAGTGATAATATGCTGAACTGGTGTTCTATTTACTGTCCTTATTTAGCTTTTATGTAGTAAAGAAAAACTCTTTAACTTTGCATGTTAAGGTAGACAACAGGTGTCTCACACAAGAATATTATGAACTGTACCTGGTGGTCCAGCAGAAGATGGCAACACAGGAGGTGTCCACTGAGTTGTACCTCGATTGTGATCTATGTAGAAGTAACGATTTGTTGCACGGTCCATTCGTTTCTCCCAGCCAGGTGGCAGCATATTAGATGGAACAACTTTTGAGGCCTGCTGCTCATTCACTGTTAAGATTCATGTAAAAGACAATTGACACATACTCAAATGTCAGCATGATTGTAGCTTTCTCTCACAGCATTCCTACACCTGCTTTTTATTTTTTTTTTAAATTAAATTTTTCTTGTCAAATATAAGTGTATCTCCATATGTGGGTTCTGTGGCCTCATTATGTGGCTAATGCCCTCGCTTCATGCTCTACTTTAGCTACTTCTATGGCTTATTTCTTTGCATAACAAGCATGTCACAAAATCACATAACTTGGGTGTTTTCTTTAAGGTGCATCTGTCGAAGTGGTGAGGAACCAGCAGTCTGCATACAAAGAAGGCAGATCTGTAAAATGGATGTACATGCAAAACTCAAATTATGAAATATAATAAGTCCAGAAGTAGATAAATAATCAGAACTTTCCACCGGAATTTACTGCTGGTGAACGCTAAGACGAAGAAAAAGAAAAAAAAAACAAATCTTAAATCAAAACTGTCATTACTGCCTTTATTTATCACTTCTGCAGTGTAGACAGGAGGGTCTTTGAGCCTGAGGATTTAGGCTCGAATAGCTAGTGCTGTCGCCAGGGACTGTGCAGGTAGCAATTTTATTTTTGCCTCCTGACATTAAAAAAAAAACAACTGCTCATCTTACAGAAGATTTGAACCATGGACTCCTGCATGATATCCCAGCATTTTAACCATTCGGCCAGCAGCTCCTCAAAGAAATAAACACAGAGTGGAATATTTTTACATTCAACCTTACATGTGAAAATGATGTCTTGATTTGTTGCTTCGCCCATTGGCTAGCTGGTATACGACTTTGTTGCTGGTCAGGACAGCATTTGGGTCTGTCTGCTCTGATGGCATCAACACTGCAGGAGTCCCTTTTAGGGCTGTTGGTGATGTGCAATGCTAGGTCATTTTATAGGGCGCAAATAAACCAGTCACAATTATAACCTAAAGCTCTCCTTCAAGGATGCTGGTTAAAGATGACGATTTTTGCAGGTTTTTTTAAATTCCAGCAAAGCACCTACCTACCAGCATAAAATGTGCACCAGGTAAAGTCCTGGGAAGTAAAAGCAGCCGATACAATGTTGGCCACATGACCTATTGACTGCCGAAAGCTCTACCAGAATAGGAGTCTAGCATCACATGCCTGATAAGCCACAGGTATGAAAAGGGTCATTTGCTTACTTTACTTACTTATGGTTCGGATGTAAGAGCATAGTTCATAGTTCATTTGTACTCCTCTTTTTTTTCGCTGGCATCTTTCTGTCTTTCCAAATCTTCATCTTCTTCTTAGCAGTCACTGGCTGTAAGCTCCGGTGAAAAGTTCTGCTTGTTCATCCACTTCTGGACTCTACTCTTGTTCCAGAACCTGAGATTTGCACCCATTTTACAGATCTAACTTATTTATAAGCAGACTTTTGGTTCCTTACCTCTCCGCCGCCAAGCAGCTTCGGCTCCACCTTATCAGCCAATCATCAGATAGTATTGATACCTGCACAATACTGTATATGCTGGTCCCTTGGAGGATAGGCAGAGCGAGAGGACTTCTCCGCAATTGTCATCAGATATTGATATCTGCACAATACAGTATCTGCTGGTCCCTTTGAGGATAGGCAGAGCGAGAGGACTTCTCCGCAATTATCACCAGATAGGACTGAAACTTACATAACACAATACAAAGTATTTGCCAGAGCGAGAGGCCTTCTCCGCAAGCACCATGTCTCGGAGAAACAAACCTAACGGAAAGCGCAACGGACAGAGGAAACAGCCCACTGACAGATCTACCCGATCTAACTCGGAGGCCAGGAAGACGCAGACAGATACTACCGAACCACAGGAAGACGCCCCTACTACCAGCGAGGCCCTGAGTGACGTCCCAGCGTCACCTGAACCAACACAGCCAAGTCCACAAACATCTCCAGATCGACGAAAGACAGGCAGCTATATGAATTTCCTGCCACAATATTTCTACGACAGACCAACTCGGGCCGGACAGCAATCACTACACTGGCAACGCTAACATTGATCAATATGCTGGAGATCATGTTAGGCAAGAGGGCAGTCGCAAAGATTAGGAGAACTCGAGAAGGAGTGATAGCTTCACTAAACAGAACCAACCGCACCTCAGACATGCTGGATGACATCCAACACGACGGCAAGAAAGAACTCCGACTATCCGAGGAGATAACTGTAACGGCCACCATCTTCCAGAATGTAAGACGCTGGGTGATCCGAAGAGTCAACCTGCAATGGAGCAACGAAGAAATTCTGCAACAAATAAGGAAAGAAAACCCCAATGTCAACATCAACCAAGCAGAGAGACTGGGCTCAAAACGGCATCCATTGCCAGTGGCGGTGATAACATCGGAAGGAGAAAACATCCCGGATAAAGTCTACCTAGATCAAAGAATGCAAAGACCAGAGCAATACGTGCCACAGGTGATCCAGTGCTCTCGTTGCCAAAAAGCATGGCACTCCCGGGCCACTTGTGTGAGCGAACATGAAGTATGCCGATACTGTTCACAACACCATGCCTTCAACAATTGCCCGCTGGCAAAGCTGGACACAGACTTTAAGTCACCCAATATGAACAGAAAGTGCGCCAACTGCTACGGCCAGCACAGCACCAGGTACCTGGGGTGCCCCTATCTGCAACAATGTAGAGAAATTGCAACCACGGCCATACGGGATAAGATTCCATACCATGAGGCCCGCAGAAGACACGAAGCAACCCAAGGCATAACTGCAGCCATTACCACCAAATTGAGCAACGAGGTGGCTCAACTCAAAAGTGACATCCAAGCTCTCAGAGACGAGAAAGACGCATCCAAAACCCAACGAGATGAAGACAGAGATGAAATAACAGGCCTGAGAGCTATAATGCAGGCGACTCTTGACACCCAGAAACGGATGACAGCAGAGATGACGAAATTCAAGGAGGACATCATGAATGCACTGGCCACTATCCAGACACAAAAGGAACAACCAACTAAGGCAAGGGAAGACGAGGCGGTCATCAATGATCTGCGGGATAACCAACAACTTCTCGCGAAAGAAGTCGCAATGATCAAGAAGGCACTGGCTGAAACAGAGGAAAAGTTACGAAGAGCATACGAAGAAAACAACAGACTTAACAAGGAACTGCAAGCAACCAACAGAGTGATGGAAGAAAGAGAGAAAGCACGGAAAGAGGCAACAAGAAGGCAGCAAATACAGGGAGCCGAGACCCAGAAAAAGACGCATCAAACACCAGATAAGAAAACTCAGGCATCGCTGATGAAACAGTTTCCGTTGGCAACAGTTGACCAAATTAACGAACGCATCATGGAGATGGAGGACCCGAACTTCTATAACTCAGAACTGCAGGATGATGATGTTTTGTGGTCATCACCAGAGGAACCACATCGACAGCCAAAATTTGAAGTCAAACGAGGTCGACACCGTTACCCCAAACACTAATACCAGATACGACACAACCAAGGCCAAATTACCGAAACCCTATGTAGGAGCAGTACTTTACAACAAGGATACGAGAAAATCACCAAATAATACCAGACCTCAGCAGTATAGCCATCAGTACCTGCCCAAGTCAATCGACCGCCGGTCCTTATTAGGATAGGCAATCTACTTTCCCCGGAAACAACAAACAGCCAAGGAAAACCACAATAAATCGATCCAACATCCAATCATCTTGAGCGCAGCACAGGGCCAGCCAGATTACAAAAACAACAGCAAGAGCGGAAACCACAACAAACAGAAAGTGACAATATTGAACACAATCCAGAATCAAATAAGATCGCGACCAGAAAACGTCACCACAAATATAGCTGAAAGGAAAGTGAGCAGAAATGTGAACGGACCTAGCTGAAAGTGGTCAAAGAAAGAGAATTTGAATTTGAAATTTCCTTACCTCTCAGCAGATGCATTCCAACTCTGAAGGAAGCTCCCAATTAGCCGACTCTAACAACATGCTTTTTTGGTAAGGGGTGGGTCTATTCTTGTTTTCCCCAGGGGCCCCAGAACCCACATACAGATGCCTTACCATACAATAGCGTTATACTGTGCTATGGGGATGCATGAGAATCACAGCCCATGGTGACGACGAGTGTGACTAGCAAGACTTGCTTGAACTAAAGCCATCCACGATTAGAGCATGGGATTTCAGGATCTTTGTTGCCATTACATGCATTTAATTGTGCTTTTTCTCAGACGCTCCACTCTCAACCTATCCTTAATAATTTTTCCTTTTACTCCCACTCCCTTCCTGACACCTCTTCCACCCTCCTCCCACAAAATCCCCAATATGGTAGTTAGCATTTTCTCCCAGGAATCTGCCTCAATACCACTGTATTAATCATGTCCCACCTGCAAGCATCTTTATTTCGTAGCAAAAACTGATCTCAACTTCATCTTCATGATCATCTACCCATCTGTAATTCACCATAGAGGTTGTCCTTGGCACTAACATCCTATATTCTCTAAGTGAGAGCCAGCCACCTGAACCTTTGGCTCTTTCCAATACCTGTGTTTTCTGACCTTTTCTTGCCACTTAATATTTAAGCTAAGTATTCTTCTTATGCATCACATATGAAAACTATTTAGCCATTTCTCCTGGTGCAAAAAGTTGACTAATTTTAAGCGCCATAAAGAAGAGTGCTGAGAACACAAACCTGATAATTTTTTTCTTCTTATTACGAGGGTGAATAAAAATGCGCTGGCTATAAAAAAGACTACTCAATTCATTGTGCAATACTAACTACTACTTATATTTATAGATACTATATTCAATTACTATTTCAAGTTCAATACAAAACAATCACTACTAACCTTTCAACTGCTCTGAGGCTTCCCTTTCTCGTCTTGCGAGTTCCCTTGCTGCCTCCTCTACTTTAGCTTTTTCTATGACTTCTTTTCTCTGCCTTTCAAGTTCTCTGTTTATCTCTTCCCTCTCTTTAATTTCTCTTTCAATCTGCTCTTTTCTTATTTCTTTTTCAATCTGCTCTTTTCTCCTGATTTCTTCTTCACGCCTGGCTGCCTCCGCCTGCTCCATGAGCTTCCTCTTTGTCTCTTCAGCTTCCTTTTTCATCTGGTCCTGCTCATACTGCTGTCGAAGCAGCTCTCTTTCTGCCTCTTCTTTTTCTAGTCTTTCTTTTTCTATTCTCCTCAGCCTCTCTTCTTCATCATGGACCTCTTGTTGTGTCTTTTTTGCTGAAGTAGACTCCATTAGTCGTTCAGCTTCTTTTAACCTCTCTGCCTCTCTTAATCGCTCAACTTCTCTTAATCGCTCAACTTCTCTTAATCGCTCAACTTCTCTTAATCGCTCAACTTCTCTTAGCCGTTCAGCCTCTCTTAGTTGCTCAGCTTCTCTCAGCCGCTCAGCCTCCCTTTCTTCTTCAAATTTTAATAACCTGACCATTTCATCAGCTTCTTTCTTCTTTCTCTCTTTCTGAAAAAAAAGAAGTTATTATTAATTAGCAAACTGCAGAAAACACAAGTACTTCAGCATTTAACTATTGAAACTAAACCTTTTCTTCAACAAACAATATGTAAATATTAACAAAGAAGTGTAAAATACTGAAAGATTGTACATTTTTATGTTTTTGTTGTTGAGATGAGTGGAGTTAAGTCAAGAATTGACATCACAGAACTCGGGGCATTGCCATGCATGCTCCATCCTCATCTTCAGTAGCCAGCGTAAAGTTCCAATACTGATGGTACTGGTCACAATTTGGTTAAATGTCCATCTTGCCTTTCCTCTGAGTGTAGTCAGCCGGCCAGGCCCTCTGGTTACACCCAGGTGCCTCATTCTCTCAAGGCAATAATAATCTTCTTTCTCTACTGATTCTGCTGCTTTTTCTAAAAGGGCCTTGACCACATCTGCCTTGTCATGTATCAATTCACCACCCAGTTTTGCAGATCCAGCCAATCTGTCTGCGTGTTTATCACCCACCAAGCCGGCATAGCCTGGAGAAAAGGTCCAAAGTATGCTCACTACCCATGACCTTTCCAGTGAAGTTTGCCACTCTGCTCGAAGCATTCCTGTCTTCACCTTTTTCAGCATGCTTTCAGAGTCTGTTACAATTATGACATGTGTATGCATCTTGTTCTCTAGCTACCGGAGAGCTACAGTTACCGCCTCCACTCTCATGCTAGATGTTGTGGTGTCATATGGTAGGCCGTCTTGCACTAAAGATTTTCTATTTAGTTTCGCTACAAACCCCCGGGCACTTCTCTTTCCTCTCAGCACCAAACCATCTGTATAGATAATCAGATCACACGGGCATGAATTGTTGTGAATCAACTGTTGCACTTCAACCTCCATAGCACCCGCTGCACATTTTTATCTGATTCAATAACTTGGCATGGCCATGGCCACTAAGTTAACTATATGTGTCAATTCCTCCCCATTAAAAAAATGGCTGATGCATTCCGTTTTAGGGGGCTGCTTTTCTCAAATCTGTTCTCTAGACAGCTGCAGTCCCCTGCGTATGAGAGGTCTGTCTTTACGGGTAGCAGACTACCACAATCACAGCACTGTGAGCACAATACGCTCGTCAAGTCAGCTGTCACCCCACTCTAAAATAATACAACACAAGTTACTCCCATGAAATACATCATGTCTCCTGCATTGGAAAACTTGCCAAAATAACAGTCCGTGATAAGAGAACTCAATGATCCTAAATAAAAATCACAGTAAGCAAACATTATAACACAGTTGGGTGTCACCATCTTTAAAATGGAAGTCATCCAATATCTTGATGTCTTTGTTTATGCAATGAAATGAAACAAACCTGGAACTGGTGACTTTTAAATGCAGAGCACACAATATTTACAATAAACATAAATCTATAATCTCATATATGCCAGCCTCCTGAGGGGACTTAGACTGGTCTCTACTAAGCACTTTCACCACCCAAATGCTAAAAAATAAAATATTGGTCTATGAACCTGTGGGAATTTCTGAAAACATTTTTGTTTAACAAAACTATTTTTTTAAATCTGTGTTTCAAAATATACAAAGATAAATAAAGGGAATAATCAATAGACAAGAACAGAGCAAAGCATTAAATGAAATACACTCCCAGGGGCCTAAAACCATTGCTTCAGGTGACTCATGCTGTGACCTCTAACATGGAAGCCTATAAGAAAATTGCAAGTCAACCAGGTTTAAAACAAATCTTGTGGATTTACAAGAAAACTCCTCTATATGCTATATTTAGTTAATATATTCACATTACTATGCAGGCACATACAGAACCAATGGCATTCAACTAAGCTTTTTGAGTTTTTAAAACAGGTGACTTCTGACATGGCGATATATTGGCATTTATGTGGCGGTGAAACTATTGAAAGACTAAATTCAGCCTTCTTGAGGTAAGAGAACTAATCAAATTACCTGCAATTTTCCAAACTACTCACCTCCCGTTGAATTTCAACCAAGTCTTTCAATTGTTCTTCTTTTTTCCTGTTATGTCTCATTAACTCTACGTCTTCTAGTCTGTGCCTTTTTTCCTCCTCCTCTTTTCTTGCTAGTTCTAAAGCAAATGCCCTAAAAAGAAATGATTTAGAAGACAAATATAACATTTTCAAGGACACACATTTACGCTGGTATTTTACACTAACAAGGGCTATCGTTAATAAAATTTAGTTATTAAATGTATAAATGAGAATTACCAGAACATACAAAATAAAGTTATTATTTGAACAAAGATAAAATAAACAACAGAATGTCCTATTTAGTGCTTCACATAATGCGTTGTACCTTGTGCAGTCTGTGTCCATTTTGTCCACAAGGGACAGTGGCGGACATTCTGTGCGGTTTCAGTTGGCACAGAAACAGAGCAGCTAAGCAGGGACCTGTTTGCTGTGAAGATGGAACTGCAATTACCTGACACCTGTGTGAAGTTGGAATGCAATTACCTGACACCTGTGTGAAGTTGGAACTGCAATTACCTGACACCTGTGTGAAGTTGGAACTGCAATTACCTGACACCTGTGTGAAGTTGGAACTGCAATTACCTGACACCTGTGTGAAGTTGGAATGCAATTACCTGACACCTGACTGAAATTAATGCTAAACTCCATGCTGTATTTAATAAAAGAAGTTTTAAAAAGTTAGTTGTGTATCCTTTACAGGACGTTGCAGAACCTACTGTAGCATTGCTTTGGCTGTTGTAGTTTTTCTAGGCAAGTGTAACGACCAGTAGTTTGTTTTATTAAAGAGATACTCAAAAACAAAGAAGACCCAGTTCATGAGAACTTGCCACACAGTGTAAACTGTCAGATAAATAATTATTTAAAAAAAAAAACCCTAATGACTCATCCTTGCCACAAATACTTAGGTACACACGCAGTGTTTTTCTTCATCTTTGGCTTGTTCGTCCATCACAAGTGATGATGACTGGTTCTTTCATCTACTAGTGGTCACACACGTGTAAGAGATTCAGCTGGCCAGACAGACATGTGATTCCTCTCTAAGACACTTCAGTTATGTGATTTTGTTTTCTAGTTCATGTTTATGGTATTGTATACTCACGTAATGTGCTTATGAAGGCTGTGTAGCCTCAATGTTCACTTGTTGTGTTTTTGATCATGTGAAACTTACAGGTTCTATTTTCAGTTTAGTCTGATCTCTTTCTTAATAGTGGTAGAATATAATTTTTGGGTGAGTAGATGGCTGATTTAGACAACCAAAAAGAATAACCAGATTAATTTAAAATAAAGTGAGGGCCCAAAGACAACTTATCCCAACTATCACAAGAAGACAGTCACCTTTTCTGGCCATGTTATGAGAAAAGAAATTGGAAAATGTGACCAACGGAAACATTTGTGGAGACAGATAGAGGAAGACAATGTAAGAAGATTCTTGATAGCTTTTTGTCACTGCGTATGAGGAGTGTCAGCACAGGAGCTGATGAATGCTGTTGAGATCACAGACTGCAGAGAGGCATGATTAATCAAGGCAGGTGGCAGGGCTGCAGATGATGATGATAATGATACTGAAGGAAAGGCTAATAAGGCCAGTCTTGCAAAGAATTGTCTTTGGCAGTGTGGGCACAGAAACTGGCTTCACTAATACACACAGCATACTTTACAGAGAACCACAGTCAACCCCAATGACTCCTAAATAATATATTTCAACATACAATTTAAAGAAATTATTAATAAACTTTTACAAGCTAGAATATTTTCAGTGCAAAAAGACAACTTACCGTCTTGTCTCTTCTGCAATAAAGTGCTTTCTTTCCTCTTCCTGTCTCAATTTCTCCCTCTCCAACTCTTCCTTCAACTTCCTCTTCATCCTCATCAGATCTGCAACATCTTTTTCTTCTTTCTTTTTCATCAGCTCCAGATCTTTCAGTCTTTTTTCTACCTCCTTGATTTTTTGTTGATCTTCTTTCACCTTATTATCCCGTGACTGCTGAAATTCTTTCAGCTCTGCTTCCTTTGCCTCCCTTTGAACAGTACTTTTAGAAAAGTCCTTGGCTAAGTTATTTTTAAAAGACAAATTGATGTTTCTATTACTGCTGGTAGCTTGATCGCTAATTATATTATTGATTGTGTTTGCAGTCTTTGCCATTACAAGGTTACTTGGATACAAACCCCCTGTGACTGTCGAGGCACTCTGTTCACTCAACCCTGCCGGCAGAACGCCGAGTGATCTAGTGTCTGAGAATGTTGATATATTCGCTGATGGAGATGGTTTTAAACTTCGGTCAAACTGTGGCAATGGTATTACTCCTGGTTCAGCAGCCACAGAGATGCCCCCACCAATAACAGGAATAGTTTCACCGACTGTTGCAACAGGTGCTGCTGCAGGTTTCTTTTCCTTTTCTTCAAAGTCAGGATAATCAAAGTCCACTGAAAATACAATGTCACAAAAATGAATGAATTTAAAATCCAAAAATGTATACAGTCACAAGTTTAACATACTCTATAACCTCAAAAACTACCAAATTAGATGATAGATTTATTATGTTTGTATGTATATATTTTTTATACAGGAATGCAAACATATGAATACAAAAATTTTGGGTTACTAAAGTCCACAGATCAAGAAAATTCAAACACATAAATAGTCATATATATAACAGCGTATAATATCGAATATACAATAAACTCTATTAGTAATGCTAGCTTTTTCATTTTCTGGAAAATATTTTTAAAAATTAACTATTAGCGACTCGACAGCAGAAATAATAAATAATTACAAACAGCATTTATAATTATACTTTAATTATAATTTTACTTCAATTTAATAGGATTATAAATTATTATATTTTGTTTGTCTATATTTATCATGTCAAGTTGCTTTATTTTCCTATCTTTTTTTAGACTAGCTGACCACAACATCTTACTGACAAAAGTAAGAGAAAGAGACAACATACATGCCTTGAGGTGCTTTGGTAGCAGCATCATATTTTTATAAAGCAGCATCATATTTTTATAAGGCAGCATCATATTGTTATAAAGCAGCATAATATTTTTTTTATAAAGCAGCATATTTTTATAAAGCAGCATCATGTTTTTATAAAGCAGCATCATATTTTTATAAAGCAGCATCATATTTTTATAAAGCAGCATCATATTTTTATAAAGCAGCATCATATTTTTATAAAGCAGCACCATGTTTTTTATAAAGCAGCATCATATTTTTATAAAGCAGCATCATATTTTTATAAAGCAGCACCATGTTTTTTATAAAGCAGCATCATATTTTTATAAAGCAGCATCATATTTTTATAAAGCAGCACCATGTTTTTTATAAAGCAGCATCATATTTTTATAAAGCAGCATCATATTTTTATAAAGCAGCATCATATTTTTATAAAGCAGCATCATATTTTTATAAAGCAGCATCATATTTTTATAAAGCAGCACCATGTTTTTTATAAAGCAGCATCATATTTTTATAAAGCAGCATCATATTTTTTATAAAGCAGCACCATGTTTTTAATAAAGCAGCATCATATTTTTATAAAGCAGCATCATATTTTTATAAAGCAGCACCATGTTTTTTATAAAGCAGCATCATATTTTTATAAAGCAGCATCATATTTTTATAAAGCAGTATCATATTTTTATAAAGCAATCAACATTTGCTGATGAGGTGGTTCAATATGATGCCAGCAACCATTATTTCTCATCATCATCATGTTGCTGTGCCATTATATGTCACATAAGACTTGCAGTCTATTCCTCCATTCCATTCTACCCTATGCAATCCTTTTAATATCATGGATGGAATCCAGTTCAGCTGGCTTATCTCAGCAACATACACTTTTTCTCTTGGCCGTTCACATTTCCTCAATCTATTTTTTCCCCACTTCAGTGTCTGTTTGGTGTTACTCTGTCTACACTTCAGGATGTGCCCTAAATTTTGCCACTGACTCTGCTTTAAAAATGTTGACATAAAAGATTGGATAGATATGTCTCATATTTCTTCATCTTTCGTGAACTCATTCCATTTACTTTTCATAAATTTTGTTTCACCTTTTGTGAATCCATCTTATTTCATTTTCGTTCAATTTCCTTAAGCATTTGTTTACAAAAACATTTGACTTTAATTCCATGTCTTCAGTTTTTCTCCAACTTCCCTTGCTATATGTTTGTACCGAAATAAAATTAAAACTAAATATATGTCTTCTTTTTCTTTGAGCTCACTAGCTGTTAACTCTGGTGGAAAGTTCTCGTTGTTCGACCGCTTCTGGGCTTTAGTCCTGTTCCAGAATAGGATTTTTGTGTGCACAATCTGTTGTAAATATCTGGCTTATTTGTATGCAGACAACTGGTTCATTTCCTCTCAGGCAGATGCAATCCGACTTCGAAGAAAACACCCTAAGTAGTTGACTTTTTTATGCTTGTCAGGGAGCCAGTGGGTTTATTTTTATTGTTACTCCCTCAATAGGGCCCCTGAACAAAAACGGGGGATACAAATATGTAGCTCAGCTTTATACTTCACAGGAACCCACATTGAGGCTTATATGATGTGAGAATCCATGTTACTTGTAAACGGAAAAATATCTGGCTTCATGTGGATTTGAACCCCTGACCTCAATTAGGATCTGAACCTATGATTCCCAGGCCGGCAACCAAGCATACTAGCAACTACAATACCATGGTTCCAAAGCTGACAAACAAGTGCATTAACTTCTACATCATCATTGCTTCCGCAATGAAGTTTGTAATGCAACTTCCAAAAGAGCTGAATGGCATTAATCCACTGAACTGTGACTAAGAAGTTTAAAATGGGTGGAAGTAAAAAAAAAAAAAAGGAACAATCATATGTTTTGGCAGCAGCCTTTATCAACAACAAAAAACAAAAACACAAGTGGGGGAGGGGGGATCCTGCTTTATCACTTTTGAATTAAATGGGGTTAGACCAAGAGGCAAACCAAGAAGATGGTGGAGAGATAATATGCAGGCAGACCTTCACACACTTGAAGTCAATAACTATAAATAGAAGGCAATCACAGAGATCAATGGAGGTGGGTAATATCTGTAGCAAAAGACCACTGAGGGCTCGGAATGCTGAAGAAGAAGAAAAAGAAAAAGAAAAAATAAGAAGAAGAGAAAGTAAAAGAGAAGAAGGATTAGGAAGAAGAAGAAAAAAGGAAAAGAAAAAGAAGAAGAAAAAGAAGAAGCACTAGCAGCAGCAGTAATAGTTCCAAATAATACACTCACGTGTCATTGTTGGAGATGGTGGTTTCATCTGATTCATGTCGCTTGGTCTAGCCACGTGAGGATTTGTTGTCAGGGTGGGATAAAACAACAACCACTGCTCATATCCACCTTGTAAAATCAGTGGCTCTGATTTGATGATGACATTTGTGTCATACTGAGGGGGAAAAAAATCAACATTTAAATATTCATGAGTGGCTGGGAATGTAAATAAAACACAGAATCTTGACTTTCTTTCAAAATAAATACTAATTCTATGTTTACAATCTATAAATACTGAAATAAATATGTAAACAATTTCAAATAGTTTCAATGAAGTAATGCACTGCCAAAAAAAAAAAAAAAAGCTTAATTATTGCAACCCAAAAAACTCTTTAAATACATTTTAGCAAACAGTTGAAAGTGATGCATTTCTTCTTCACATGCACCTGTTGCAAACTGTGGTAGAAAGTTCTGATTGTTTATCTACTTCCGAACTTTGGTCTTGTGACTGAAGTACTGCATGCACATCTGATTTACAGATCTGACTTACCTGTGTGCAGACTGCTGCTACCTTGCCTCTTAGTCAGATGCACTCGGACCTCAAAGAAAACATCGACACTGTCAGTTGGCCAGGCTCCTTGTTGCGAAACTGTTTCTAGGATGATTCCGGAAAGGTGTAGACAGTTCTAGACCAGGATGAGCCCTGGTCCTGGGGTGCCAACATAATTTGTTCACCAACTATGCCTCCCTGATTGATTTGAAAACTTCATTTTACAGCCATAGATTACTATTACTTTCCTAACACTAATAGAATGTCTTTGCACTGGACCCACAGTGGCATAAAAATAAAGGAAGGCCAAAAAAAACACATGGAGAAGGGAGCTAGACAGTGAAGTAAAAAAGACATGGGGAGGACACGGGGAGAGCTGCATGCGACAGCAAAGGATAGAACCACTTGGATTGAGTTGGTTGAGGGCCTATGCTTCACTGGGGATTACAAAGGCAGAAGAAGAAAAATTCAAATATACTGTTAATACCTTGAAGATAGCATCTTTAAGGGTTCTTAAAGGTGTGCCAGGAGTAGCATGGTCCAAAGAAGACTTCCAGTCCAACAAAATGATATGGTCAGCATGCCTACGCTTTGCCCAGACTGCATGTGATTCTTCTGGTAGTTTTGCTTGAATGTGACTCACTGTTGAACTGGAAGGTAAATAACAACATATAATCAGCTTCTGAACCTTAAACCAAATACAGAGTGGGACAAGCAAAAGAAGAAGAAGAAAGATGAAGAGGAAGAAGAAAAAGTAGAAAAAAAGCAACACGCCACATTTCTCTCGCAAACTCCTTGTACAAAATGCATGAAACTCACTGACATTATGTTCTTTACACATCCTCATTTTATATTCACATTTTTCCATGAAGTTTTATGAACATACGTCAACAAGGATATGTACACCTTGCCATATCAGGTTTTATTCCGTTCAAACAGACCATGCTTTTGAGTGTCAAGGACTGATAGTGCAAGGGAAGTAATACAATTAGAGCAGGAACAGACAAGAGTTGTCTTATTTGACCATGACAAAGTATCCACAAACACAGCGATCCGTGACCTATTGAGTATAACTCAAGAAAGGGGAAAGGGGAGTAAGTGAGCTGAACACTGAGGTAATCAAAATAAAGTATTTTTAGGTTACAGACAAATGAGTTTGGACATTCACAGTGAATGGCTATGTTTGAGACATAAAAGTTTATGGTAGAGATAATAATTTTTCATAACAGTGTTCTTTGTCATAGCAACTAGTGTATAATGATATTGGTATAAATTTCCGTGGTTATATATCCCTTACGCCCTCCTTAGGACGTAATTTTTTGTTATTTGAAGCGCCATTCTGGCTTTTGCCAGGGGCCGCAATATAGGCAGGCCATCAATATGGCCAATTGTCTGAACGCGGTTTCTGGGACCTTTCCACGGTGATCCTCATCCGCATGGTGGCACTATGTGTCATCGGGTGTTTATCGCTTGTGTGATGTCCTGGTGGGGTAGAAAGTCAGTCAGCCGTCAGTCACGTAGTAGCGATTAAGGTGTTTTTCTTTTTCTTCCTCCTCCTCCTCTTATTTTCTTCTTCTTCCGCATTCCAAACCCTCAGTGTTCTTTTTCTGCAAATATCACTGACCTCCATTCATCTGTATGGTTGCCTTCTCTTTGCAGTTATTGATATTAAGTATTTATAGGTCTGTATGTAAATTATCTCTCCACCGTCTTCTTGGTTTGCCTCTTGGCCAGCCCCCATTTAATTCAAAAGTGATATAGCAAGATACTCTTTATTATTCACTGATAAGAGAAAGGGGCATTTCTTTCCTAAAGGCCCTTGTAAAATCCTATATTCATATTAGACTCCCATTTACTTCCACTGCTTAGAATTTTCCAAGTTCAAAGCTTCCTCTTTACATTTTCCAGTGTGTCACCTTGACACAAAAGTAGTACACACAAAAATAAGTTAGAACCTGAAGATGTTTTACATACCCAGGGATAAGTATTTCCTCAGGCACACAGATGCAGTCTGTGTGTGAGACATGAGACTGAATGAAGTCTACTTTAGGGCGGGCATCCATGAGCACAATACTTGTAGTTGTATCTTGGAGCAATTCACACAGACCTCGACAGGTGATCGTACCAGTTGGGACTGTTTGGGTCACTCCTGGAGATAAAACTATTTACAAAAAACAAAACAAAAAGTTGATTTTCTTCAGCTGTTAATTTTGTCACTGAAAACTATTAGTCATATTCTTCATGCAATCTAAATAGCATAATGGTTCTAAATAGATTACAATACTTCTTCTTCTTATAGTTTATGCAGTGTAGTGCTGGTATTCATATCCATCCATAACCTTGTCTCGTGTACTTTGAATCGATTCTGACACAGATGAACCTCCATGCCATGAAGTCAGACTGTCCAGCATCTTCTCTCTCTCTGTGTCTCCCTCTGCCTCTCTTCCCCTCCAACTTTCCCACTGTTATAATGTGCCCCAGTTTTCTCCTTCTAACAAAATGACCGAAGTATGTAGATAGTTTCCTTCTGATGTGGGCAACCAGTTTTCTTCGTGAGTCAGTTTGTTTCAAGACATCTTCACGACTCTTTTTTTTTTAAATCTGTCTATGGTATTCTTATCATTTGTCTATTAAAACTGCATATCCGCAGTTTCAAGATTTTTCACTAATCGACCAACTGTCCATGAATTACTTTCTCATCTCAAATGACAAAGAAAATAAATTAAAGAAAAGGTTACAATTAGAAGAGGCAAAAATGATAGCAGAATACAAATTTGAGGCTTAGATATCTGTTCAATAGATATCTTAGCTATCCACTCACAGAGATGAATATAGCCGATGAAATCTGCAGCAATGAACCTCTAGGATTTGAGACACTGAAGAAGAAGAAGAAGAACACAAATAAAAATTACCTTCTTGTTCTTTTTCATTTTCTGGTTTCTCAGTGGCCACTGTCTTGTCAGCTGGTTCACTGCTTGACTCAAGAGGAGGTAACTTTGCAGCCAGTGCCTCTGCTTCCTTCAAAATGTATCTAACAAAATAGTGTTTAAATACTGTCAAATATTAGCACATGCAACAACAAAAAATGTCTACTTCTCATATATATTTTTACTAAACTGCCTTAAGAACATCATCTTAACAGAACCGAACTCAATTCATCAACAATAACCGAAGATCCCACTTTACATTCAAAATCTGATTTTGTGTGTGGGCCAAGCAAGGAATAGTATCCTAGTGGTATATACTGCAACATAAAGAATGACCAAACTAAAGAGAATGTTATATTCTTCAACTGCATAAATGTAAAAGATTTTTTGCCTTTATGTACACAGAGTAGGAAGGCCCCAGCAATTTAGTTTTTAGTTTTTTTTTTGTTTATGTCACTACTGATTGTATTTATAGCTTTTTATGGCATTTTAGACAGGGATGTCCTGAGCATGAAGATTTAGGGTGGCATTGCTACTGCTGTCATCATAGATTGAAGGTTGGGGTGCTTATTTTTGTTCCCTGACAGAAAAACTGTGTCACCTTATCATGGGTTTCTCCCAAATGACAGCCCAGCCAGCTGCTCCTCTAAACCAGTTAGTCAAGTGTGAAAATATGAGTGAAATAAACAGCTTTCTCTCCACACTTGCAAAGGTGTCTGGGTCATATAAGCTTAGATTTCTTGTGTAGTTTACTGAAAATGTGGGATCTCTGTTAAGGATTTTTACTTACTAGTGTAATTCAATTAACACCAGTCCATGAAACATACTAGGTAATTATAAAGTAGACTTGCTTGCAAAAATGTGCATACAACTTTCTTACAAAACAAAATGATTACAAGACTACAAGTTACTATTTTCATGAGCAAACAAATGAGCTTCATTTTAACAGGGTCACAAACTGGATACACAAGCCAGTCTTACATTCAGCCCTTCCTAACACTAATCTTTCACTCATCAATAGTATTTGTATCTACAAAGCATGTTATGTTTATACAAAGCATATTATGTTCACAAATAATGCACTTGCAATTTGTTTCTTTCTTCTCTAGTCATCTGCTATGAAACATTCTATAACTAAAATGACGTTCACATTTCTAAATCTACACGTAACATGCAACAAAATAAAGGACCTCTTCGGAGGGGGAGGGGACTTTACATACGGAGCATAATGGGCAAGCTCATGCTTTTATGTACCTCTCAACACTCAATGGATGTGCTCAACATTATGATGGCTGCCTTTACCTAAATAAATTTCCTAGTATCACTTTTAGGCTGGGTAAACCTCTGAGCTCAGAACAATTTTTGTTTTTCTAAATCTGCCATCCGGGAGTTTGAACATATTATAGCCCCCGAGCTAACGAGGCTGCCATATCTGTATGTACCTTATAGTGAAATGTACCAATACATAATAAACAGTTCTTACCTAAACTTATTACATGGATACTTAAGCTATGAATAGGTTAAAAGTTAAATGCATTAACAGTGTAACTTTAGAGTATGTTTCTAGAACAAGGATAATGTACCTTTCTTTAAGACTTTCTGAAAGCTTTTCTGCTCGCTCAATAGCTGTTATCTGGTTTCTTTTTCCAATCAGATTATCAAAAAACTCCTGAAATATGTTTCATGTTTAGTTAATGTATTTTCTGTCACTTTCCATTGATGAAACAGATGTGCATTTATTAGCATATGGTTTCTCTTTAAGTACCAGCGTATATTTGGTAATTTTACCAAATAATGTACATGTGATTAGTAATATCAAAACTAAACAATACACATAGTAATCTTCATCAACACGCTCTAGGCCGATAAGCTTTGTTATGGTGACCATATCTTGCCATTTCATATGATCACCTGCCCCCATGTGGGTTCCAGGGCCCCAGTTTTGGGGAAAATGAAATCGACCTCTGCCCCTTAACAAGCAAGTCGTAAAAGGTGTTTAATTAATGATTTGCTGAAATCTGATGTGTTGGGTCGAAGGGGCAGACATCACAGTATGATTCTAAATCGCAACATAATGTGCCAACTGTCCGTTTAACTCTTCCAATCACAAAGAATGAATCGTACATTGATAGGTTCCTACTTTGAAGGCCAATGAGCGTGTCATATGCTGATTATACACCTCACTTTTCAATTTCACACTGGGCATTTTAAAACATTAATCCACAAGTTTGAGTGAATTTTCTGGTTTGATGTGATCAATAACACATGCATGGTCCATTTAGTTTAGTTGAAAACGTGGTCATAAGCATCAAATATAGTATGTCTGTGAGCTTTACCAAGACACTAAGTGTGTTTTTTAAACAATATGAGCGCCAAACAGTCTTCTTCATGCCCACCAACATGACTTACAGCTTCAGAAAACTCAAAATTAAATAAAGTTGCTTGCTGATCAGATTTATGTGTGTTAGAAGAAGAAAGTGTGTCAACTGGATTGCAGCAGCACTCTTCAAAAGAACGCATCACTGCGACGTGGTGCACTGGCATTGAAACCTCAGCAGGACCCAATGGACCTGCCCTATGGATCACCGATTCTCTTCAATGTGTATACAGCAGGAGTTATTTTTTGTTCCGGGACACACAGGCGTCGATGGAAATGAAAGAGCTGACAGGTTGGCTGGATCCGCTATCACTACCGACGGTCGGCCTATGGATCATGCTGATATTATCAATGCCCTCAGAGAAATGGGAAGGATAGAGGACTTTGGTGGCAGTGAATCCACATCACTCGCCAGAATGGCAGACTTGGGAATTAAGATCGACACAGCAAAAAACGAGACGCACACCGGACACGTCAGAAGACTTGTTAATCAACATAGAACTGGTACTATTAGCCATCGGACGTTGGGGTTCATACTGAGGGGAGGATCTGAGCACCTATGGACATGTCCGGAGTGCAATGACGATAACCCAACTAACTAACTAACTAACTAACAGCAGGAGTTACCACTGCACAGACTCTAGGTCTAGGCAAAACAATATTGTATGCAGATGCTATCCTTGTGCACCAAAAAGGAAGACAGAGGTATGAGGGTACAATCCTGTAGCATTAACTAGACAGTTTCACTGAGCTTTGCCAAGCATCAACAGCAAAGGTAAACTCAGCAAAGGCTTGACATTTGTTTTACTTGAACACCCACATTGTCAGTAAACATAATACTAGTCGTAAGCATGTGTGGTACAGACATCAAAATAATGTACATGATGATATGCCCTGGCATGAACTATGAGGAAGTTTAACATACAACCATCACATAGACAATGTCATAATCAGAGCCAGGAAAGGTGTGAGAGTACTGAAGGTGATGGCAGTGGCCAATATTAAACAATGCCTACTTTTCCTTCTCTACCAGGGCCTTGCGTTAAGCCTCACAGACTGCCCTTTGGGACTCCTCACTAGAAAGGTTGAACCGGGTACAAAATGAGGCTATGAGACTCATACTCGGTTGCAAAAAAGACACTTCATGCCACACTAAATAAGACACTCTGAACTTTCAGTTAATCCACTATCTTATATAAAGCTTTAAAAGTCAAATCATACATTAGAGTATCAGCAAACATGAAGCACACTCTGCACAACACTATCAGTGACATAAAAGGAGTGCATGGCCACTCCTGGATGGCCGAGGTGAAGTGATGGAAGCCTGGTAAAGTTAGTCTATGCCGTCTCAGAGGACAAGCTAGAAGACATTATAACTTCTTATAGTAACAATCAATACAGGTACCTTGAGGTAGCTGCTGCACTGGAGGACTGAGCATACATAGAAATGCCCAATGTGCAATAAAGTCGACTGTGATAACATAACAAAGCTGAAAAAGCAGTGTGGAAAAAATGGGAGAAACATGAGAGGTTTCTAAATTTAAACTGACCTGATGCTGAAACTAGATACTATAAGACACTCACCCGCCGATTCTTGTAGTCAGCCTTTAACTTCACCTGCTTCAGTATGTTGAAATACTTCATGTACATGACATAAGCTCTTTCTTCATCTCCTTGAGCGTCTAAATTTTCAGCATCTTGGAACACTTTACTCAATGATCGAATTATTCTATGACAGACGAAAAAACTCATATATATATATATATATATATATATATATATATATATATATATATATATATATATATATATATATATATATATATAAAGGTATATTTTGTTTTTAACAGAAAGTAAGAAATGTTTTCATTCAATGAAATAAATGTGCTAAAAGAAACAAACTAATTACATTTTAATTTACCAGACACAACACACAAACACACACATACACACACAAAATAACTATTTAAACGAAGAGATAATTTGTTTTATAAACCAAATATCTTTGGGAACACTTTCTGTCCCAAGTCAGTTGCTGCTTCAACACTTCTCTAATCCAAAGTGTGTGTACTTTAACAGCAATATTCTTCGTCTTCTGCATTTGTCCTTAAAATGGTGTTTGGCATGTTATGATGCGGTTTACAGCTAAGCAGTGATATCTGTGCCTTTCAACGCATCTGATATCAGCAAACCCCTAATTCAGTGGTTCTCAACCTTCTAAATGCCACAACCCTTTAATACAGTTCCTCATGTTGTGGTGACCCAAACCATACAATTTTTTTTGGCTGCTTCTTTATAACCTCAATGAATATGTGTTTTCCAATGGTCTTAGGTGGTGAAAGGGTCGTTCAACCCCAAAGTGGGTCGAGACCCACAGGTTGAGAACCACTGCCGTAATAAGTCACTTTTTATGACATGCTTCTTGGGAGGGGGCCAGTGATCTCTTCTTCTGACCCAAATGGGACTCTGGAACTCATATGGGCAATCATTCTGCTTCTTCTTCTTTGTGTACTGGCTGCAAGCTCTGGTGGAAAGACCTGGTTGTTGGTCCATTCGGGCTTTGGCTTGATGCCAGGGCCAGAGTTTTGTGTGTGCATCCGTTTTACTGGCGTATTTGTGTGCAGTTAGTTGTTCCTTACCGCTCAGGCAGATGCACTTTGAAAGAAGTCCCCAATTAGTCAATTTCTATGTTCTTGTTGGGGAGGCAGTGGGTCTATTCTTGTTTTCCCCGGAACCGGAACCCACACAGGAAAATTATTATTATATTTATGATCACTATAAAGGGGTGAAATACTATATAAATGATTCTAGAGAAATGATTCTTTAGCAGCCTGACGGTATGGTAGTTTATTATGCTTAACAGTGCCTTCACAATCTAGATCTGGTTTCCAATTTTCAGATGCGAGAGAAATGTAGTTATACTTTTACTTTCAGTATCATATTAAATTTTTCTTTCACTGTGGATGGGTGACTCAAAATTACAGTTTTAATTATGATTTCATTCTTTATTGAACAGTACTTTTAACAAAAATAAATAATAATACTAAAGCAGTAATTATAAACTTACACGCTGACTGGGTTATCAAGCTGTTTGACTTCACTTTTGCTGTGTAAATCTGCTAGGCACTTTCCTAAATAAAGTTCTTTTTTCTTTGATGATGTCTGCGGCATTCTCAAAAAGTAAAGTTACCAGTTATGCTGTAGATCTCACCACTGAGACGGTGCACTTCAGAAGATCTTTACAAAAACACCATGCTTCCTTAATAAAATAAAGATGAGAAATAGACAGATCAGTAAGTTTTAAATAAAAGGATAATTTAAACATAAATAATGACAAAGTAGAAGAAGAAGAAGAAAAAGCAGAAGAGGAAGAAGAAGAAGAATATAAGAGAGAGAAGAAGAAGAAGACAAAGAAAAAGTAGATGAAGAAGAAGAAATATAAGAAAAAAAGAAGAAGAGAAAGAAGAATAATAGTAGAAGTTGTAGAAGAAGTGAGGGGCAGAATGGTATAAGAAGATGCCTAAAAATAATTATCACAGGACGAGGTCTCTCCAATAGTCTTGGATCTTTTTTTTTTTTTGGTTCTGGATCCCTTCTCTTGGTGATATTTTTCCATCCCTGCATCTTAACTCATTCAGTCGCAAATAACTCCCCATACATTTCTGGATTATTCTAATGATATTATAATATACCAGCTGTCTTCTGTCAAAGAACAGTGTGATATTGTTCCTTATTGTCTAGATTACCAGTTTAACTCCTTAGGTTTTGTAGCGTCTATGCCGAACTCTTTAGGGCCAAAGTATTTACTCCTTTAAAACTAAACAATGTGGGGGTAGAAGTTAAGTAACAACTGTTTGGGACTGAAAAAGTTAAACCATCTGCCTTTCTCTCAGTCTGTCTTTGATTTTCCATTGCTGATATTTCTAGTCAGCATACTTTCCAGAGCTATTCTTTTCATATTTTACCAAAAACAGTTTATTTTAAAAAAAAAATTGTCATTGTTCTATTATTCAATGCTGTGTGGTATTGGTCATTGTTTCTGTCGGCAGCCTTGTCCCGTTAAATGCCAAACATTTCTGGTAGGGATTTTAGTCAAAGTTTATATATTGGGTTTTTTACTTTTCAACCAAGACAGCTGAATAGAGGTTCAAAACCCGAGTCCAACGGTACCTCAATGAAGTCTGTATGTCAATTCTAAGCGGAGATATTCACATTTCAGTGACGGAAAGTGCCCCCCAAAAAAATTATAATGGAAAACACAGAAACAAGATGGCGGCATGTTCCCAAATGAAAACTGGACCTCAATTTTGATGTAAATGTTTAATGTAAATAACTCTTACGTTTTTTGCTGAACACCTTAGCAACCATATGTCATTGCTTTCATGGCAGCAAGCTCTAACTAAAGTTGTTGCCTTTTAAAAAATATGATGTGATGCAAACCTAAATAACATAAAAATAAGTCAATTTATCAGTATTAAGTATTAATTAAATACCTTATGAATTTATTTTTATTATCCAGTGAGTCTTGCAAGACGTATACTGAAATATATATATACATACTTTTGTAACTATTCTTCCTGTTATGATGCATCTCTTTCTGTTTGTTAAAAAATGCTTTTTCTCTCACTGTCACTTGTCTGTGTGTGTGTGCATACATCTGACCGAAATTTGCTTTATTCCACTGTTTAAAAAATGTTCAATAGCGAGTGGATTGCCTTCATTGCATCGTTACTGGTTTAGTATGGCTTGGTCTTTCTCCACATAACTGAACGGCTAGCGCATGCTAAGAGCTTAGCACAAAGCCTGAATACCGTAGCTCCAGCAACAGCCCTCAGAGGTCTCCGCTAACCAAAAAAATGCATTTTTTAGTCGAACAACGCAGTTGTAAGTGAACGTACCGCAACCTTCTGAGCGCAAGGTTAATGGCTTGACCACTTTGCTACGGAGACCCCCATATTGTTTTATAACTAAGCAAAAATGAGCGCCCCTCTTACTGATTTAACATAATCCTTTTTTCAGTCTTTGCGAGTTATTCTTTCATTTTATTGATGATGAGGACATTTCATCATAGTGTTCCCCTCTTCTTCTAAACTAGTCACTGCTCGATATTTTATTTACTTGTTCAAAATAATCTAAGGTAACCGCCTGATTTGTGATTCAGTTTTATGTTTTTCATGGAGTAAAATTATTAAATAAGCTCCTTTGTGATTCGCTTTGGATTTATGTTGTGTTTTCATGGAGCAGGATTTCATAAGGTAAGAGGAAAAATAACAGTATATTTTTTAAAGTATCTATGTCCCACGTGATCTGTTTGCTGGCTAGTATATATTAGTATTTATAGAAAATGATTAAATATTATTAATCATAAGTTGTAAGTAGCTCTAGCTGTAAGTAAGTAAACTTTTGCACAATTAAACAAATTATAATATATTATTATTAATTTGATTAATCATCAACTTTCTAAATAAGCAAATCTATAATCTAAGTAAGTCAAAACTACAATTTTAATACTAATACGAATAGTATCAGTCATAAATAGTACTTGTTATAGTATCTAAGACAATAAAAATGCACCACAAAATCATAGTGCAGAAATATATGGCAGACATTTTTTAAATGTCAATCTGGGAGCAGAGTGTGGGGGTCAGCAGGTGAAAAGGCCTTAAACAGGAAAGGTCCTTCATGCCCAATGATAGGTTATGGCTTAAAAAATGCTATAATGGCTAAAGATTCCAAAAATGATTAAATAACTACTTTAATGTGATTTAAAAGTATATTAAAAAATGTTCAACGCTCAAAATACCCTAGCCATATTGTCCATGTCAAAAACGCGCTAAAACATTATTTTCAGCTATTTAAAACTATTAAAACTGATGTCAAATGAAAGTTAAAGACAGTTAAATGATTAATAGAAATAAAACTTGCATTATTTTTCAACTGTTTTTATAAATAACTAAATATTAATCAATCAGTTTGTTTAGACTACGTGGTGGCCATTTTGAAAAATCTCTGATTTCGCTCTCAAGACACGATCTGGAACAAATTCAAACTTTCAACTTCGTCCTGTACAGATTCCAACAAAACTGCCCAACTTTATGTAAAAATGGACACAGAATCCAAAAATGTCAATTTAGAGTATTTAATTTTACTGAAAACAAGAGATATTAAAGAAATTTACTTCCCGCATGGCAAATAGTGAAATTTATTTGTCTGAACAAAGATCACTACGTAAGTTAGGTGTCGTTTTGTAAAGCGACCTCTTCTGAATAACTTTGAGCCCACGTATTCGATTCAGAACAGCCTGTATTGAGCGACGGGTTTTCAAAGTAACTGATACGCAAAGGAGCCATTTTTCGTGGACCATTGACTCCATCTTGTAACTAAGCGATCTCTACTTTCGTTTTAAAGTGGGTCACCTTGTTGATTAGAATAGCTACTGGTACAGATGCTCCTTAATAGCATGAAATCAAACTGTGTCATTTAATCTATTTTGTAAACAATCTTTCATTTCTTCAAAAGTAAAGTTATCTGGCACATAAAAATGACACTTTTCATGTCACATATAGCATCTTCTGCTTATGCTTTCTATAATGTTGGTGCATCACACTGATCTGCCAGTGGATGTTTCTTATCTGTCATTATAATCATAACTGTGACTGTGCAGTGTCTATTACCTTCTCCTTCTTCAATAATAATTTTGCTTCTTTTGTATTCAAACAACTAGTTACTGTTGGTTATCTAATACCTAATAGGGTTCTCCTTGCAATAACGGTCACTACTTGGACGGTGACGGCCGCTTAGTCAGAGTTCAGTCCCCTGGCTACAGTGCAATTACAGAGTGGACAACACACGAATAAAAAAAACACAGTGAGTTCAACATGGCGTCTAGACCACGCGCTGTGACTCACATTACCCTAACCCAAACCCTACCCCTAATTATGTCATTTGTGTCGTTCCCTCTTTTCCACTCCGTAATTGCACTGCAGCCAGGGGACTGAACTCCGACTAAGCAGCCGTCGCCGTCCAACTAGCGACCGTTATTGTTATTGCAAGGAGAGCCCCTAATAGTTCCACTATATTGGTTTACTAGAGTTTTGTTTGTTACATGAAATCACTCGTCAACAAGTGTGATGATGAGAAAAACCTAAAAGAGAGTGATGAAGCCCATGTTAGCTCAGAAAGTCTCTTGATTAGTACTAATAGTATCATCATCAGGTGCCTTGCCGGCTGGCGTAGGCGATCATATGCCTCTCCATAATCTGCGATCTCCTGCAGCATGAATCAGTTCGTGTGCCGACACATCTCCATGCCATGCAACAAGACTGTCAATACACTCAGAAGTTTGTGGTACTTAGCTTTTAGTTGAGCATAATTGTAATATCTTAGTAAAATTCGGACTGCTACAGTGCTACAATACAGCCTGCCCTCTCCTACCATAGAACAATTTAGTCACAGTCAGTCAGTCACAGAAGTCAGAAGACGACCGATCACGATGAAAACTCACAAACTCAACAACTGAATGTTGCAAAACGAAAATAAAAACTCAAGTGACCAGCTCAAACAAACACGACATAAATGGAAATATACTGTGATAATACAGTTAAGTAACAAATACATACAACTAGGTTTTAATTGTTAATGTCGCTGTTTTTGTAAAATACAAGAACTGTCGTCTCCGGATTTAGCAAGTCTTCAGTGTCAGGCACTGTTGACAAATATTGCTTTCCCACTTCCGGTAGTAGATTTGTTACATTTGCTGTCCCCCCCCCCCCCCCCCCTCCCCCTCCCCCTTCTCTCTCTCTATATCTTTCTCTCTTGTAAGGCGGACATTGGGTTTCGGGGCCCTATTGTGCGGAAAACAAGAATAGACACACTGCCATTCCAGTAAGCATGTCGTAAGAGTCGACTAATTGGATTCCAATTCCAATACAGAAAAACTCAACCATGTTCAACTTGCTGCTAGCTAGTCGGAGCTTCCAACAGTCTCCGGCTATATTTGTGGTCTCGTTCATTTGTGCCACTTTCGTGGATAAAGTTCTGGTATTTGCGCGTCTCTGAGCTGAATGCTTCTTTCCCCAGTCAGACCGCCCTTTCCCTATCCTGTTGTATACTCTGTTCTTCTTGCCCCTTCATTTATGTTTCCTCTATGGTTTCAGCTCCTTCTGATTTGG